TTTTCTTCTAGTTATAGAATTTCCACTCAGCCAGCCTTTCTGTGGTTCTGTATGATGTCTGTTTTGTCTTTTAGTTGTAGTTTTGAAGGGGTGGTACAAGGCAGCAAGTGCAGGTGTTTACCTAGGCCACCATCTTGGTTTCTTCTCTATTTCTTTCTTCTCCTTCTTCTTCTTTTTTTTTTTTTTTTTTTTTTTTTACAATAGTCCTTTTAGCCTTTCTTACATTGCTGGTTTTGTGGTAATAAACTCCTTTATTTGTTTATTTATTTATTTATTTATTTATTTTTATTTTGTGTGTGTGTGTGTGTGTGTGTGTGTGTGTGAAGCTCCTGATTTCACTTTCAATGATAGCCTTGCTAAATAGACTAGTATTAGATTTAATCTCTTGCTTTTCATCACTTTGTACACTTCATGACATGCCCTTCTGGCCTGATGTGTTTCTATTGAGAAATAAGTTGATAGTAGACTAATGGGAAATCCCTTGTGGGTGACATTCTGATTCTCTCTTGCTGCCTTTAAGATTTTCTTTGGCTTTTACATTTGCCAATTTAATTATAATGTGTCTTGATGTAGGTCTTTTTTGGGGGTTCATCTTGATTGGGCTCTCTCATTTTGGCTATCTTTCTGAATTTCTTTATATATAATTGATAGATCTGCTACTTCTCCCAGTCTTGGCAAAGTGGCCTTATATAGTATTATAGTATCCTATTTGGCCCAATGTCTCATTGCTCCAGGTCACCTGTGCTGGGTTCTCTAGGGGTGTCTTTTGTGTGGATTATATGTGCTCTCCTGTTGGCCCTTCAATTGGTGGAACTGATCCTCAATTGACTGGCTATGAGGACTGATTATGACAATAGCAGAAAAGCTATTGTGTGAGATGACTCCACACCATGGGATTTGCTTTAGCAGGTCTCTGGTGCCTGACAAGCTCACCTTTTGCATGAATTGTTTATGGATCTTATTAGGTAGTGCTTTGGTGTGATCTAAAGCTGGCCACTGGATATGTTGGTTCTGGGACCTTTTTTGGGAAGGCTCTGGTGAAGGCTAAGATTAGCTGCTGCCTATATCTGGCATGGGATCACCTGGTAAGAGTTGTAAACTTATCTGTAGTTGGTGGCTGCCTGTGCTGGGCTTGGAAGTGACTGAGGCCTGCTACTACTGGTGCCAGACGTGGGGCCACTTGCCAAGAGTTACAAGACTGCTTATTTGGGGGTTTGAATCTTTAAGAGATTTTTTTAAAGTCTATATTTTGGAACCAGATAATTGCTATAAAACATCTGTGCTTTAGGTAAATTAATCTCTGAAAAAGGTTTGGGCAAGGTGGTTAAATTGGGTCAGTATCACCAGTTTGGGGCAAGAATGGCTTTAGCCAGATTCATGGAGACACAGATTTAGTGTTCACCTGCACCTGCCAGCTGTGTGGGGTGGGGTCAACAAAAACAATGGCACTTACCAGCACTTTAGTTCAGAGAGAGCTACCCCTGCAGCCCTCATCCTGAAGCCAGACAATTCAGTTCCTCTCCTTGTGATCCAGGCTTTTTTGAGCTGCTGCTCCATCTCTAGAATTTAGGTCTAGTGTTTGTAGATGCCTGGATTCAATGCAGCCCTGTCTCACCTGCCTGGGTCTACAGCAGCCCTGTCTCATATGGATGGAGACACTGCTGGCTTTCACAGCCAGCTGTTTGGGGAATTCTCTTTGTCACACTGGTACTCCAGGCTAGGGAACCCAATTTGGGACTGCTACCTCTTGCTCTTCAGTGGGGACCTATGCAGCCAAGATATCCCTCCTGATTCTCAAACATTGCGTGTGAATGTGGGACCTGCCTGTTTCACATCTCCATCCCTCCTTACCAGTCTCGACATTGCTTATTCATTATACCCTTAGTTATAAGAGTTCTGTTCAGCCAATCTTCACATATTATAGTTCTCATGGGTGGCTGTTCTATAATTTAATTGTAATTTAAATTGGTCATGCGAGGAGGTGAGCACAGCATTTGCACACTGCATCATCTTGACCTAAAATCTTTAGGCTACATTTGTGAGGGAACTTTTAAAGACCTTGTTGAGTTGATTCTGTGACCTGTGCCAAGTAGACATTCTTAAGGATAAAGATTTTAAACACTTCATCTCTCCACTCTCTTTGTATCTGATCCAGAACTTCATGTCTTCAAAGCAGCCAGGAATAACATATTTTGTGAATAATGGCTATTTGTTCTCTTTGCTGACCAGATAATTGCTATAGTACATCTGTACTTCTTTATGGGCCTCTGGAAAATACATACTTTTCTTCTATTTTTTGATCTATGATCTCCACAAATTAAAAAAAAGTATGATTAAAATATTCCTAGAAGATTATAAACTTGAGTGTCAGAGGAATTTATTTCCCTCACCAGCAAAACAAGCTCCAAGTTTTCCTTCCCTTGTTAACCTTTACCTTGAAAAACAAACAAACAGAGTAAAAGTGTAAGGAATTAGGATATTGAAGATGATAATTTAATATGAAAACCTAACAACGTTTTATAAGTTTATGTCTTCGAGTTATCCTTGGAAGTTTCTATCACCCATGGCAAGGAAGTTTTATTATGAGGGTTATGGAGTCATTTAATATGCTCCGATACAAGTTGGCTACTGTTTGTAATCAAGAGGCCTGATGCAACCAAAAGACTAAACAGGATATTTGCTCCTGGTAACATATGTATAATGCTTTTTACCCCCCTTATTTTATATGTAATTAATTTAATTGACTGAGATTCAAACATTTGCCAAGTTATCGGGAGGGTGGGGGGGTGGAGGAGGGATTGGAAAAGTGAAACTACCTAACATTTGTGGTTTTAAGAATGTGGAAAATTTGTGAGCAAATGCCTAAGTGACAGAGGTGAGAGAGAAGGTGTCTCTGTGTCTGGAGACAGAGGCGTTGGAGTGAAGGGCTGTAGCAAAAACTGAAGGAGCTCTTTTCAACAACTGTCAGACAATAGAGGTGCCAGCAGACTCATTGTGAAGCCAATGAGTCATAGAAGGTATTATAGGCTGAACTATGCCCCCTCCCCAAATTCATATGCTAAACTCCTAACCCTCAGGATCTTAGAATGTGACTGTATTTGGAGATAGGGCCTTTAGAGGTGACTAAATTAAAATAAATTTATTGGTGTGGACCCTACTCCAATCTGAATGGTGTGCTTATAACAGGAAATTTAGAGACACCATGCACAAAGGAAAGACCATGAGAACACAGCAAGAAAGTGGCTATTGCCAAGCCTGTGTGGCTCAGTGGTTGAGCTTCCACCCATGCACCAAAAGGTCACAGGTTTGATTCCTTGTCAGGGCACATACCCGGTTGCAGGCTCAATCCCCAGCAGGGAGTGTGCAGGAGGCAAACAATTGATGTTATGTTTCTCTCTCATCAATACTTCTATTTCTCTCTCCATTCCTCTCTCTAAAAATCACTAAAAATAAATTATAAAAAGAAAAAAAGAAGGCTATCAATAACTCAAAATAGAGGCCTTAGAGAAAACCAAACCTGCTGATACCTATCTTAGACTTCTAGCCTACAGAACTTGAGAAAATGTATGTTGTTTGGGCCACTCTGTCTGTGGTATTTTGTTAAGGCATCCCCAGAAATTCCCTCTAATAAAGAGGAATTTAGAAGCTTAGAGACTAAGTTAATAGATTGGTTTAAAACATACATAAAAGAAATCTTGGGAGCATTCAGACATAAGAGATCTGAGACCAGGAATTCCTGGACTGGACAGGCAAAAAGGACAATGACAAGGACATTTACATTATTTACTCTGAAAGTAATACTTGTGAATATACTAACATTTATTAAACTGTGGAGAAACACATACTATAGTGGTTAAAAATATGGACACATGAGCCATGCTTTTTAGCTTGCAATTCTGGTTTTGTTCATGATCCTGAGTAAGTTAGTTAACGTTTCTGTGCCTCAATTTCTTCATCAATTGATATAACAAGACCAATCACATACAGTTTTTGTAATAATTAAATGAATATTAATATAGTAATTTATGTGTTAGCTATTGTTATTTTTATTATCATTATAAACAGGTACTAATCAAAGTATTGAATCAATCTTCACAAAAATTCTTAAGTAACTGAAACATGGTGAGGTAAATTTAATTACTGATGATAATACCATCAGTAGTAGTGGACCTAAGATTTGTCCTTAAATATTATGGACCCGTGGATGATTATGCTCCATAGGAACAAAATATTTATGTACAAAGCATCATAAAAATGCTAAATAGACCCCTAAACAGAAGGTGTATTTGTGTTTATAAGATTTGTATTAATCCAAGTGACTTTTCCAAGTGACAAATTTACAATTACAATTTCAAAATATTTATTTATTTTATCATTGCCATCTGAGAAGTGCAGAAGGTTTAGACTGTGCTCCTCTTCTTTCTAAAGACATATTATCTATTAACTAGAAGCCTGGTGCACAAATTCATGCATGGGTTAGGTCTGGTGGGGGGGACCAATTGGGGATGGGGCTGGCCAGACTCCAGCAGCAAACTAACCTACCAGTTGGAGCATCTGCCCCCTAGTGGCCATTGTCTCTCTCTAAAAATCAACTGTCTGCCCCCTGGTGGTTAGTGCACATCATAGTGAGCAGTTGAGCAGCCTTAGCATATCATTAGTAAATTACACTTCTGTTGGTTGAAGGGATGACCAGACGATCAGATACTTAGCATATTAGGCTTTTATTATATAGGATAAGTAATTAAGGGAAATATCAGATGATAAACAGTTGGTTGAGGTAAACAGAAATAAACAGCTTTTAGAATATAGTCAGAATGATTTGCCATATGCATTTTTTAAATTTTTGTACATTTTTTGTTCTTAAAAAATTTTTTAAGAAGTAGAAATATCTGAATCCCAGATTGTACAGTACATTCTAAAAGAAATACTGATTATACTGTTCCCATTTACAACTTCTTTACTTCACAAACAAGTAGTTACAAGTGATGTAAGAAGGCATGCTATATTTCCTCTGGTTCACAGGTACATGGATTGAGAAATACCTCCTCATTTTCTTTAAGTATAATATCATACTTGCAGAGTGGGGGTCTGTGAGAGAGAAAAAGAGAAAGAAAAAAATTTATTGGTAAAACAACAAAGTTTCTTTCTCATAAATATTAGATTATGTTATGCCTATAACTAACTAGTTCTCCAAATGCTGGGAGTTGGAACACACCTACATCATGATCTCCATTCTCATTGGGCTATACTGGGATGAGGTAGACACAATGTGGGTGGGGGCTGGGCAGGGAGATTCTGTGTGTTTCTACTTCTCTCTTTGCTGCTTCATTGGAATATTTATAATGTATGGTAGATGTTATTGGGTACTCAACTGAATAACTGAAAACTGAACTCATCTCAGTAGTCAGGCCACCTCATGGATCATTGATCATCACTGAGGAAGAGTTAGGTTGAATAGCATAGATAAATGCTGAAAAATAATTTAATCAATTTTCTTTGCCACCTACTCAAGTGGAAATAATAATGTGCAAACTATTCTATATCTTGGAGAGTTTGTATAATTGATATTTGAAGATTTTTGAGAAGTCAAGTAAATCAGGCATCTTGTCTAGTTATATTCTTGCTAATATCTTGAAAACCTTCAAAAAAGTAATTAACTAGAATAAGACAAGATTGGCAAAGGTTCAGAAAAGTAGCTAAAGAAAGAAATGGTAGCAATAAATAGAAATTTTCTGTATCAGCAATAGAATGTGATCAAGGAAAAAGGGTAACTCAACTTCATAGGTGCTGGTAGTTCACCTTTATTGTTCATTTTCACTTATCTAGTTCAAGAGACACATTGCTCCCTGTCTTCTTCTAACTTAGTTAAGACATCATTGAATAAAGTTTTAAAATATTCAACAGAAAGGTTAAATTATTCCATTTTTAAATAAAACTTCTACTTCTCTAATATATTTGAAAATGATAAAATATAGGCATTCATATCTAATTATAAAAGCTGATATACAATACTACAGTATTTTACATTTAAAATAATAAAAGTATCTTTAAACTTTATTGTTAACTAGAGGCCCGATGTACAAAATCCGTGCAAGAGTAGGCCTTTGCAGCCAGGGTGGCTGCCTCAATCCCACAGCTGCAGCCCTGGCTTCATCCAAAAAGTCATCCATAAGGTTGTCTGGAAGGATGTCAGATGGTCGTTCTACTGTTCTGCCATTTTGCCATTTGTATAATATATTTCACTTTTATTATTAGAGACTACAGACCAGCGCATGCAATTCATGCACTCATGGAGAGGGTGTTTCTTCAGCCCTCTCACAGTTCAGGAGCCCTCATGGATATCAGACTGATGGCTTAGGCCCACGGGGAGTGGGCTTCAGCTGTTAGTTGGACATCCTTAGTGCTGCTGCAGAGGTGGGAGCGGCTCCTGCCACCACCCCTGCACTTGCCAGTCATGAGCCTGGCTTCTGGCTGAGTGGTGCTCCCCCTGTGGGAGCACACTGACCTCTAGCAGGCAGCTCCTGCATTGAGTGTCTGCCCCCTGGTAGTCAGTGTGTGTCATAGCAACCGGTCATTCCACCATTTGGTCAATTTGCATATTACCTTTTATTAGATAGAATAATATAGGAGTAAGTGTAAAATACTTTAATCTCATAAGGATTTTTTAGATTTAGCAAAAATATATTTTATTACATTACTAGAGGCGTGATGCATAAAAATTTGTGCAAGAGTAGGCCTTTCTTTCCCCCAGCTGCCAGCACTGGCTTCCCTCTTGCACCCAGGACCCGGGCTTCACTGCAGCTGCTGGCAGGCACCTGGGACCCAGGTTTCTCTTGCAGCCCTGGTTTCATCTGGAAGGTTATCCAGAAAGACGTCTGGTCTAATTAGAAATTATGCTTTTATTATTATAGTTTAGAGATCAGAATATAATTGAAAAATCAGATTCATCCTTTTTCCATTATTAAGAATTAAGTAGATAATGACTGAACCGCTTCCCTAGTCAAATTTATCTATACTTATATCAGTTATTTATCCTGCTACATCCTTTATTTACTGAATGTGCCTTCAGTATTTTGGATCTCCTCTACCTCATTTTTTTTTAAGTTCACATGTGACTAAATGTTGTTTTTTGTGTTGTTTTTTTTTAATAATTTTAATAGAGAGATAGATACAGAGAGACAGAGAGAGAAAAACATCAATGTGATATAGAAACAGTGATCAGTTACCTCCAGTACATGCTCTGTTTGGGCTTCAAACCCACAACCTAGGTAGGTGCCTTGATTGGGAATCAAACCTGCAACCTTTTCTTGTACAAGATGATACTCCAACCAACTTAACCACCCAGCCAGGGCTACACCTCATTTTTTAACTTGCCATACTAGGACAAATATGTCATTAAACTTACTAATGGATAAATTACCTCAGTCATTAAGTGATTCTGCTATTCACATATTTATAATATTAGAATTACCAAGAATGCAAAGAAGCAAGAAAATAGAGCCACATGCTGGTCAATTAATTGAAACTAACACAGAAGTAGCACAAATATAAGAAACAATAGTCAAGGACATTAAAAGAATTATTATAACTGTATTCCATGCATTCAAATAGTTAAGTAGAAGCATAAAAAATTTAAAAAGTCAACCCAAATCCAATTTCTAGAGGTGAAAATTATAATCTCTGTTATGAAAAGTACCCTGGATGAAATTCATATCTGATTAGACATTCTATAAGAAAAGAATAGTGGCCTTAAAGATACTGCAACAAAATATATTCAAAATGAAGTAAAAAAGGAATCAAATTTAAAAATTAACAGACTATCAGTGAGCTGTGGGATAATTTCAATTAGCCTAATAAACTTGAAATAGTCATCGAAGGGAGAGAGAAAGGACACAGAAAAATATATTTCAAAAAATAGTTACAAATTTTAATAAAACTTGATAAAATCTATAAGATCATACACCGAAGAGGTCAAAAACTCAAAATGCAAGAGGTATGAGTAAAATTACATGTCACATAATCAAATTCTTTATTAGTGATGAGAAAATCTTAAAACTAGCCAGAGGGGAAAAAAGGCATATTTTCTTCATGGGAACAAAGGAAGGATAGTAACAAATTTCTCATTGGAATAAATTCATGGTAGTAGATGGCACAGCAAGATCTTTAAAGTCAAAGTAAAAAAAATATATATATATATATATATATCGACTAGAATTATATAACTATGTAAATTATCTTTTAAAAGAAGGCATTAAAACTTTTTTAGACAAAAGTCTGAAAAAAAAATTAACAACCAGCAGACCCATACTACAAAAAAATTTAAAGGAAATCCTTTAGTCAAAATATAATTTATACCACATGAAAGTATACATCCACATAAGGTTTAGAAGTACATTAGAAAAGATAACTAGATGGATAAATATATGAGTTTTCCTAATTGTTTATGTTATTTTAATAGTTTTACTCTTTAAAAATATGACACTTTGCAATTTGGAATTTTTAGCATATGTACAAGTAAAATGTATGCCAACAACAAAACAAAAGCTAGAATGAAGAAATGGAATTACATTATTATACAGTTTTTATGCTACATGTTAAGTGATAAAATTCACTTAAAGGTAGACTGCAATGAACCTCTAAAATAATTTTTAAAGTGTTATAGATAATAAACTTACAAAAGAGAAAATGGAAGCATAAGGCTACTCAATGTACACAATAGAAGGCAGACAATGAGAAAAATGGAAACAAAGAACAGATAGGAAAACACTAAAACAAAATAGCAAGATGATAAATTGAAACCAACCACTTTAATAATCATATTAAGTTAAAAGATGTAAATACCCTTAATAAAGTGTCAGAGGTCATCAACATAATTTGACATTAGAGAAATGCAAATTAAAAACACAAAGAGATATCTCAATACCTATTAGAATAGTGAAAACAGAAACAAAACAATAAACCTGGCAAAGGTATAGTTTTGGATGCAAGAGAACAGTAGAATTCTGATGTGTCAGTGGGAATGCAAAATTTACAATCACTTAAAAAAAGCAATCTGGAAGTTTCTTATAAAGACAAACATATACTTAAAATATGACCCAGCAATCTCATTAATATATATTTATTCAGCAGAAATAAAAACTTATGTTCACATGAAAATCTGCATGCAAATATTTATGTTGGCATTATTCAGAGACAAATATCAAAAACTGTGAATAAACCATGGTGAATGGTGAATGGATAAATGAACTCTGGCATAACCATACATAAAGTGCTATTCATCCAAAATTTCCATTGATATCAGAAACAATATGGGTACATTTTAAACGTATGAAGCTAAGTGAAAGAAGCCATACTTAAAAGGCTACAACTATCTGATTCCATTTATATAATGTCTTGAAAAAGGCAAAACCAGATACAGTAATTGCCAGGGAGAAGGAGAGGGGAATGATCTTGAAAACAAAACAAAATAAAACAAAACAAAACAAAAAACAAACAAACAAAAAAACAGAACAAAGCAGTTTCTGTGAATGATGGAAATGCTCTGGGTCATGATGGTGGTGGTGGTTATATGACTATGAATTTGCCAAACTCATGGAACTCTATGCCTAAAAGAGTACATTTTACTGTTACATTTTTAACGGTAGCTTTAGTCCATCTTGGGAAGTCATACCATGTCCCTCCACTGTGAACATCTTTCTCAGTCCCTACATTTGAAGGCACTGCTCTATTGGAAAAACCTAAAGGAGAATGATGTTGCAGTCTCTATCAGAGTCTATTGCAGGGAGATAATTACTGGTTGAGTGCTTAGCAGTTTAATCTGTACCATAAGGCCTCTCATTTTTATTACTCATGTTCCCAATAATTTGGCAGTGCTAATCCTCATTAATTGCACATTATCTGTTTGGACAGATCTAAATAGGAAAAGCAACTAAATGGTTATGACAATTATCTAGGTAATTAAACCTAAAACATACATTTTGTCTAAGCATCTGTTAGTATCTCCAGCCAGCAGGGAATTGTAAGAGTTTTACTAAACACTACAATGCATTTCCGTTGTGTTTTATCCCCCGAGTAGAAAATAATTGTACTTACATTTTGTAAATTTAGTAAATATTCATAGTCTAGTTACATTAAAATTACAATTAATGGCCGAAGCCGGTTTGGTTCAGTGGTAGAGCGTCAGTCTGAGGACTGATAGGTCCCAGGTTCGATTCCGGTCGAAGGCATGTACATTGGTTGCGGGCACATCCCCAGTAGGGGGTGTGCAAGGGGCAGCTGGTTGATGTTTCTCTCTCATCAACGTTTCTAGCTCTCTATCTCTCTCCCTTCCTCTCTGTAAAAAATCAATAAAATGTATTTAAAATTACAATTAATGCTATCCTTTTTGCTGTGGCAAATACCTATGACTTCACCTAATGAATGAGTTGTATATAATGTCTCTATATAACCCATAATTAACAAGATAATGAGTCAGATATAACAGTGGTCACATCTCTCTGCCTTTCCTTTCCCCTTATAATAAGTCACTTAAAAAAGAGAGGTGCTCAGAGAGCAATGGCTGTCTGCAAACTCACCAACTTTCTGTATCAGAGAGAGCATCATGAAGTGAAGGGGAAGATTTGAAAAGGTTCTCCCACCTTGATATTTCTTCTATGAATATAAAACAAGGGAAAAGTTCAAATGCATGTCTACGTATACCCAGTGTTTCTGATAAGCAAACGTTGAGGAGAAAAAAATGAAGTATCCAACAATAAAGGAAAAACTAAGTTGAATATTCTACAAAAGATGGCAGCAGTTGACTTACAGTTAGAAAGAGAAAATTGCTTATAACCAGATCTACAATATTGCAAAGCTTCAGGGACATTATGGTCAATTGTTATCTATATGAGCAGTGACCCTTGAAGCTACTGCAATGAATGAGCCGCACGATTCTACAAAGATTTAAACAAGCATATCCAGTTCTAGCATTTGCCTAGATACACATGGGTGGATTGCCTTTGGATCTTTTTACTGTTCACATGTATTAAACTAAATGTATTTTTCTTATAAAGCTTCTGTTTCTTATAAAGCTTATGTGCAGAGATTCTAGCTAAATGTCTTGTGTCTGGCCAAGATTTATAATACATGGAATGGAATTATCTTCTACACTATGGAATTATCTTTTTTGTTTCTCTTTCCATTTATGATATATAGGAAGAAGACTTTATTCATGGACAATATGCATTATTTACATCTAAATGCCAGAAACAGAAAGTGTAACTATAATCTCTAACTTCACTGTTCATACTCACTTTTATTTTTATTTATGGATTTTTTAATTACTAAGTTTGTTGAGATGATGTTGTGTAATAGAGGCATATAAGTTTAAAGTGTGCATTTTATGATAAAAGATCAGTATGTTGCACTGTTTGCACACACCCAAAGTCAAACCATGTTCCATACCATATATTAGGCATACCCACATTTTTTATGTTCACAGAAGTATTAATGGGGGAGAATAGGATGGTGCAACAACCCTAACTTCTTTAAACCTAGCTTTTGGGAATTATAAAAATACAGTTGTTCTTGAACAATGCAGGGATTAGGAGTACAGGTACCCTGAGCAGTCAAAAATCTGTTTAACTTAAAAAAAATGTTGATTTTTAGAGAGAGAGGAAATAAGGGGAAGAGAGAGGGAAACATTGATCAGCTGCCTACTGCACACCCCCACCAGGGATCAAGCCTGCAACCAGGAATGGAACCAGCACTTTCTGGGCACATGGTTCAATACTCAATCACTGAGCCACATCAGCTGGGCTGTGTTTAACTTTTGACCCTCCTAAAATTTAACTACTAATAACATACTATTGATCAGAAGCCTTACTAATAGATAATGTGAACAGTCAATTAACACATATTTTGTACGTTACATGTTTTATATACTGTATTCTTACAATAAAGTAAGCTACAGAAAACAAAATATTAGAAAAATCATAAGGAAGAGAAACTACATATTAGAGGACTGGTGCACAAAATTTGTGCACAGAGGGGTTGGAGGGAAGTCCCCTCAGCCAAACTTGCACCCACTCCAATCCAGGACCCCTCTAGAGAAGTCCTGAGGGATCAGGCCTAAACTGGCAGTTGAACATCCCTCTCACAACCTGGGATTGCTGGCTCCCAACCGCTCACCTGCCTGCTTGCCTGATTGCCCTAACTGCTTCTGCTTGCCAGCCAGATCAATGCCTAACTACTCCCTTGCCAACCCGATTGTGCCCAATTACCATCCCCTGTTGGTATAATCACCCTCAACTTTCCTCCCCTGCTGGCCTGGTCACCCCAACTGCCCTCTGATGCTGGCCTGGTCACCCCTAACTGCCCTCCCCTAAAGGCCTGGTCATTCCCAACTACCCTCCCCTGCAGGACCTCTTGTGGTGGGCCATCTTGTGACCACATGGGGCTGGCCATCTTGTATGAGAGTTTGATGGCCAATTTGCATATTACCTCTTTATTATACAGGATTATTAAAAAATTCTTACTAAGTTCAATATGCATAGAAAGGCATTTAGGAAATCAAATATATCAACACAGAAACATACAGAGAAATAAGTTGACGTGCTGCAATCAGCTAAAGAGAGATTTCTAGCAATCCAAAAACCTATAATATCTTGATTGATGCACAACATTAGAACAATTCAAATATTCATATTGGCAGTTCATCAGATCATTAAAGATCTCTCAGTAGTTCTGAATGCTTCAAATGAGTGTTTTGTGGAAACACTGATTCTGCCATGGAGAACATGTGCCTCCACACCATGTGGACAAGGAGAGAGGGAAGACCTCTTTGGTTGTGAGGACAGGCGAACGAGAATATATTAAATGGCCTTAGAAAAATACCAATAGTCTCTTGTCTTTAAAAAATGGTACCCACACAGTAATGATGGTGTCATAATTTTTGGATTGAGATGTTTGTGACATTACTGACAAGCCAAGACAGGTGACTATAAAATTAGAGTGTAAAGTCATATTGTCCTCATGCTGTTATTGTGCACATACTAGAGTCTCACTCCCATCAGCATATTCTTGGGGTTGAATCTCCAGCAAACTGTAGAATCTTAGATACAGAAGATGAAAATAGATTTTTTTTCTTCTCAAATAAAGAGTTATAAAGTTAGACAAAAGAAAAGATGTCTTATGAAGTAATTGTGTGTGTCTTCCCTCACTTGGGTAATGCAATTCCAATGAATCTCATCCAAAGAAAAGAAAAGAAAAGAAAAGAAAAGAAAAGAAAAGAAAAGAAAAGAAAAGAAAAGAAAAGAAAAGAAAGAAACAGAATGGATTTTACACCTTTTAGATACATCCTGAAATACACAATAAGCCAATATTTGAGTACATGAATTCTTAAACCATTTTTTAGAAAGCCAATATTTTCAAGTTTAAAAGATGACATATTTAAATAACATTTTAATTTTCTTACCTTTCTGGATATGTAAGTGATTTTAACATGAGACGCTGGATACTATATTGGCATGTGGAACATTGCTGGTTGGAGCTCTGATAATATACCAAACCAATGCTTGAAATATTTACAACATCATTTAAAAACTGAGCAAGAATCTTGACTTCTTGAAGTTTATAAAATGATTTATTCTTCCTAAACATAAAATTTTATATACTCAGCAATTAATAATTTGAAATATAACTTCACTCTAAAATCAATATATTATTAACAATGCAGGAAAGAAAGAGGCCAATTTTCTAGGAAAAGGCCAAACAATGTTTGTTAAAGTGTTTGTTAAAATAATTTATACAGCAATTTAAAACAAAATAATAAATAATAACATTTACATCCACATACACAATATTTGGAAATACTTTTGGGGGGGTAAATTGGGAAATTTTATCTTTCTAACTAGATGTTTAGATTGTTGATTTGTCTAAAATTATGCTTCTATTTGTAGACTTCTGAACAGCTATCATGGAGTGGGTATTCAAATAATAATCCTTTGTTGTTCTCTGCTATTTTATTAAAAAAAAAAAAACTATGAATTAAAGAAATAATTCTAAAAGCCTGATTCAAAAGAAAAATAAATTTAGTATTTAATAAGTATAATTTCCTGAGCATTTATTATGTACCCAAAACATTAAACTAAAATACACCTTCCTCAACACCATCTACCTCTCATTAAAAAAAAAAATCATTAAATTTACAAACTTCCTCACCATTTTAAATTGTACCACTGCCTGTTGCCCAAACCAGAAAACTTGAGTTCACTTTTGATATTATCCTTTCTTTCAATCTCTCCATCTAATCTATCATAAATTTTTACTGACTTTACCTGTGAAAACTCTTGAATCTATTTTGAATTAATCCTCATTTCTCCACCTCCACTGCAAATCCTCTATCTCAGGACTGTTTCTTGCCTATAGTCTTGCAACAGTACCCTGTCTTTCCTGCTTTCAATCCACTGTAGTGGAAGTGTTTTTCCAAAATAAAAATCCAGTCCTGACCCAACCAGATTGCCTCAGTTAAAACATATCAATGATTTTCATTTTCCCAGTGACTAAAATATAAATCCTGAAAATTTTTCTACAAATCTAGTACCTACAAAACCTAGGTGCTCTCTACCTCTCTCCCTGCCTCCATTTGCAGATATAATGGCAGAGCACTGGCTCACATAGAGGCGAGGGGCACGCAAGGTGTTTCTTGTCTTTGAAAAACAGTCGTGTGAGGAGGGGCACACACGCAGGTGTGAGCTGCGGCGGGGCAGAGGGTGCCATAGGGGTTAGAGTCAGAGTGATGATCGTGGGTTCAGCCCCTGAAATGGCCTATGATCCCTCCTGCTTCAGGATCTTTGTTTGTATCAGTCTCTGCCTGGAATACAGCAAAGCAGACTAACTCTAGTTCATGATTTCATTCTCAACCAATAAATGTAAAACATCCTTAAAGAAACTTTTAGTGGCCACACTACATAATCCTCATCCCCAATTTTATGTTTCCTTACACATTATAATGTTTCTAAAGACATTTTGAATGGATAGATTGTATTTACATATTTTAATAATTATTTCATTATATTTATATCCTTCATTAGGCTGTAAGCTTAATGAGGGTAAGACCATATCTATTTTATTTTTATCTCAGTATCCTCAGCATTTAGCCCAGTGCCTACATCCCTGTGGATATTCACTAAAATTGTTTGAAAAGAAAAATAATGAACAGCATTTTATTTGTATTATATATTTATAAAGTCTATCTGTTGTACTAGACAAGTTATGTAAAAAAATATATATAATTTGCCCCAAATTTCAGCCCCAGTTTTAGTGCAGTTCCTGTCCTACAGAAGCTCTCAAGAATTTTTATTGACTGATTAAATTGGTTTCTTTCCATATATCTCCTAGCTCAGTGAATGGCACCATAATTTAAATAGTAGTAAAGATTAAAGCTTGAAGTCACTCTAGATCTATTTATTTCCTTCATTTTCACATGTTTAATCATGAAAATAGATCTATTTAAATACTAAAAACCCATTCCCACTTACTGGGTTTATGCCCACATCATATCAATTATTACACTAGTCACCTCTCTGATGTTCCACTCGAATTGCCCCATTACTCATCCACTTGGGGTATCGTTCCAACCTGAATATCTGTTATCAATATCCCCTGTTTAAAATCCTATATTGGCATAATAATATATTTGGTATTATACTTAATATATGTGATTTTTAAATGTTTTTATTAATTTCAAAGAGAGGAAGAGAGAGATAGATACATCAATGACAAGAGAGAATCATAGATCAACTGCCTCCTGCACACACCGCCCCCCTACTGGAGATGTAGACCACAACCCAGGCATATGCCCTCACCAGGAATCCAACCATCACCTCTGGTTCATGGATCGATGCTCAACCATGAGCCACACTGGCCGGGCATATCTAATGTATGTGATTATAATGACATAGAGAAGTGATCACACAATAACGCTTATATAAAAATCAGGATACAGAACAAATTTGCAATAATATCATAATTTTGCTAAATAAAAAGTAATACGTGTGCACACAAGGGTATTTACAAAAAGATATAGGAGGAATTAAAGAAGGAAAAAGGTAGAAATTGGCTATAAACCAAATGATAAATCTAAATATCCCTAGATGATATAATTATAGATTATTCTAATTTGCTACTATATATTAGGACATGCTTTTTACAGCAAGAAAATATTCCTATTTTAATTTTCAAAAGAGAAATAAAAGGTCATGTAGAAGTCTCTTACTTCCTTGGCATCTAAAACAGTTTAAATCCCAAAGCATGACTAAATTTATTAGCAAAGAATTATTAATAAAAATATAAATTAATTGGCCAGGTTTAGAAGCGCAGATTTACCATGGGTACATGTTCCATATTTTATATTCCTTATTTTAAAAATCAGAAATTCAAGTATTTAAATAAAACACATTAATATTTCATGGTGTTTGCACAGAACATGATGTTTATAAAAGTAATCAAGACTTATAATTTATTTGCCTTCCTAACAAGTGTGAATCAACTACTCTATAACTGTAGTCTGTGTGCTGTTATTGAAATTATTAATAGGAACATTCCTATCTCCATGCCTTTGAAAGTACCCTGCATAGAACATCCACGCAATTTGGATTATCTTCCAAATTGGATCCTCAAAATAGCCCAAACATTTAATTTATGAATAAAAATAATATTAAATTATACTTACTTATAGAGCCTTGGTTCTTCAAACCTTCCAAGCTGGTTTAATAATTTAAATGTAATATAGCCATCCTTCATGGTGTTATCCAAAGCAATTACACTGAGAACAAAATAATAAGCTACAAAACAAAAATACAAAATACAGTTCACATTTTAAAAATAAAATGTTTTGGCACATACACAGATACACATGTGTGTATATATATATATATATATATATATATATATATATATATATATTATATATGTAAATAATCTCAAGAGGCACTTATTTGGTATATGGATAATATATTTTACTTATTATCAATTTTTAACTAATCTTAAATGAGAAATGACAAAGCCTGCCAGACATCATCGATATGGTGAAGAAATGAACAAATAATTAGTGAATACTAACTCTTCTTCAAACCAAAAGTTTTTAGAATTTAAGTCAATTAAACTATTTTTTTAAATATATTACCTATAAAGTAAATATAACGTTCCCTAATTATCAAAGTAATAGTTCTAGCTAAGCTTGCTTGACAAATATAATTCCCAATTTCACTGGTAATTTATGATTAACTATGAAAATTAAATAATCATAGGTAGATTAAACTCATAGTAGTTCTTATTCAAAATGCTCCTATTAAAAATTGATACAGTATATCTTTCAGAGGCAAGGATTCTGAACTTACCACTATCCTATCTAATAAAGAGGGAATATGCTAATTGACTGTCATGCCTTCACAAAGATGGCAGCACCCACAGCCACAAGATGGCAGCACCCAGTTCCCTCAGCCCTGCTGGGTTGGAAGGTGTGTGGCATAGCTGGGCCCACCCCCAGGCAGGTCTGGCGGCTCCAAGCACCTGCCTCTGGAGTCCCCCAGGCCCCTCATCCCCCAGCTCCTCAGGGTTGGCCCGAGGTGCAGGCAAGCCTCAGATGTCAGCTGTCCAGGCAACGCCTGATGTGCAAGCAAGCCTCGGGAGTCAGCTGCCCAGCCACTCAGGGCCGCCTGAGGCTTGCACTGCTGGCAATGGCAGCAGAAGAGGTATGATGGGACATTACCTTCCCCTGATAACCAGGTTGCCTCCTGCCCCTGAAGGCTCCCAGACTGTGAGAGGGGGAGGCGGGCTGAGGGGCTCTCACCCTCACCCTCCCAGAGCATGAATTTTCATGCACCGGGCTCTAGTAGTCTTTATTGACTGGGCTGAACAGAAAGTTCTGACCTTCTGTGAGTTTTCCCAAGTAATGAACACCATGCCCTAAAGACAATATATAAACAGGACATAGAATGCATGAAATTTTCTTGTGAGAAATACTTGTAACTTCTTGTCTGATAGTTAGTACTTCCTCAAATAAGGTAACGGATTTATAATTGGACCTCATCCATTTCTAACACAAGAGATATATAGGAATGCTTCTTTGAAGTGACTTCCCAGCTTTAGACAAAATATGTTGGTTCATCTCACCCAAAAAAGATAGGTGTGCAGACTTGCTCATATGAACTGTGGCAGCATAACATATTGAGATATTACAGAATAAGCCTTTAATCTGCTAAAGCGCATAGACATTTTGGATGTACAATCCATAAATTAAATTACAACAAAGCTCAAATGAAGAAGGGGAATATTAAGAGGCACTTAAGAACTGGGTGTAGCATGAAAACAGAGGCTTAATTGTCAATTTCCATGCTGGAATAGAAGATGTGATGTTAAGTAACATGAAAAACATGCTAACCTGTCTGAATTCAAATGAGGACTCAGACTTGGAGACACAAAGGCAGCGAAAGCAAAACTTTTAATGACAGTCTTGCAAGATCGGGTATCTGGTTGAGAAGTCACACCTTTTTGAGCCGTTACCACAAGCAATGTATCCCTAGCGCGCATGAGTCTTTCCCCTGGTACCTTATCTGTTGAGTACTATGGGGTTAGCATTCTTCCCTGAATGTCACCAAGGTCTTTTTGTTTCCTATTGGGTTATTCAAAAAGTAGGCTGAGGATCTTTTTAGTTGTCCCCACCTCTCTGTGCAGGGAAGGTCTTCCTGGAATAAGTGGTGTTGGTCACATACACAATTCCTTGTTCTTACTACAGTTTGCCCTGGGACTTTATTCGTGTAAGCTTTGTGGTTCAGTAACTCGCTGGTAAGCATGCTGCTAGTATATTCCCACCGAAAGCTAACTACACTGAAGATGGACCACAGAGGCTTATTTTCTACAAGTAATAAGGCTAAAACAAAAATCCCTGCACAGTATTTTATTTATTAGGGTCTTAGGTTAAGTAAAAAAAAAAAAAAAAAAAAAGACACAATTATCTGAAACTAAATAAAATACCATATAATATGGAATTTAAATTTACATTCACCACTTGATGAGGCCCCTCTCTCCAATTTGTATTAAAAATGCTCCAGGATTATAAGCCGAAACCGGTTTGGCTCAGCAATAGAGCGTTGGTCTGTGGACTGAAAGGTCCCAGGTTCAATTCCGGTCAAGGGTATGTACATTGGTTGCGGGCACATTCCCGGTAGGGGGTGTGCAAGAGGCAGCTGGTCGATGTTTCTCTCTCATCGACATTTCTAGCTCTCTCTCTCCCTTCCTCTCTCTAAAAAAATCAATAAAATATATTTTAAAAATAAAAAATAAAAATCAGTTCATTTGCCGGGACCGGTTTGGCTCAAGGGATAGAGCGTCGGCTTGGGGACTGAAGGGCCCCGGGTTCGATTCCGGTCAAGGGCATGTACCTTGGTTGTGAGCATATCCCCGGTAGGGGGTGTGCAAGAGGCAGCTGATTGATGACTCTCTCTCATTGATGTTTCTAACTCTCTATCTCTCCCTTCCTCTCTGTACAAAATCAATAAAATATATTTTTTTAAATGCTCCAGGATTATGGAACATAAATTCTGGGTGGAAAAATCCAACTTTCTCTGATGGGAGAGATTTTGAAGAAGAGCTGATTGTTAAAAATTTTCTGTAATAGAAGAATAGATTTTTATTTTGATAGCACAAATATTTTTCTTTCCTTTTGATAGAGACTGGGACTGATCATTAAGACTATAAAATGATAATAAATCATATCTAGATTAATAGATAGATAAATATAACCAAAAGAAAACCACAGATTTCTTTATAGAATAATTGCATTGACAATAAATTTTTTAAAATTTATATAAAAAAATATCTTTAAAGTGCTGAGCAAAAAATAACTTTCGATGTAGAATTCTATCCTGTATTAACTTTATATTGCAGAGTAAGAGAAAGATGAGGTCATTTAAAGAAAACACAAAACAAAAACGGAGAGGGGCTAGTAGTGAAAAGTAATTAAGAATCTATTTCAGCAAGATAGAAGTTAGACCCAGTAGAAAAAGTGGGTGAAACAGGGTAAGATAAAATGTAAAAAATTGAAATGATTAAATATAAGTGAGCATTTAATATAGTAATAATATTCATAATAAATATTGATTGTTAGGTAAGAAGTGAAATAAAATAATACAGAATATAATGTAGAAGATAGAAAAGACACACAATTTAAAAGCTCTATGAGGCAAATTCTTGTGACAGAATCCAGTCAATAGTTTTTGAAGCAATATGCATTCTTATATGTAAAGCAAAAAAGAAGCAAATTGCCAGGGAAATATAACAATCCTGAAACTTTATAATCTAAAGAATTACATCATCAGAATACATACACAAAAATTTAAACAATGTGTTCTGCTAAAAGAGAGATTTAAATATAACTCAAAATCCTAACATAATAGATAAGAAGTCCAGGATGTGATTGAAAATTATCCATTATACTTACAACAAAGAAAATCACATCTTTGGTGAGAAAAGACAATCAACTATTGCTAGCACTGAGATGACTCAGATGCCAGGATTATCTGACAAGAATTTTAAGGAAGCCATCATAAAAATACTTCAAAGTCACAGTCTTTTTTTAAAAAAAAAGAAAGAAATAGAAATTTCTCAGCAAATAAATAGAAGCTATAAAAGAAAACAACATAGAAATTACATAAATAAAAAATATAACAACATAAAAATGTAATTGGATATGCTCAATAGTAGAGTGGAGATGACACAGGATAGAAATCAGTGAACTTGAAGACAGGTAAATCTGCCACTCATTCTGTACAACAGAAAAAACAGACTAAGAAAAAAAAAAAAATGAGTCTCAGGACCTGTGGAACCATAACAAAGATGTAATATGTGTGTTAGCAGAGTGTAAGAGGACAGAAAAGAGAGTAGAACTGAAATAATATTCAAAGAAATAATATCTGAAAGCTTTCTAAATTTGGTAAAGAACAACAACAACAACAACAAAACAAAAAAAACTCACACAGATTCAAGAAATTGAGTAAAACTGGATAAACCTAAAGAAATCCTTATCAAGATATATCATTATTAAAGTTTAGAAAATTAAAAATAAAGAATATAATCTTGAAAACAGCCAAAGAAAAAAGATGAATTACCTACAGGAGAACACCAATTTGAGTCACAAAAGATTCCTTACCGGAAACCACAGAGGCCAAAAGTTATCCCTCAATAACCAAAGTCAATGATTGTGATTAGAAAAAATCATTTATAAACTAATTCAAGCTTTTCATCTCTAAACAGAATAATTTTGCTTTCTTATCTATCACCCCATAAATTCATTATATAATATATTTCTAAAAGATTCTCTCTTGTTCTTAAATTTTTTCTCTTGTCTAATTCTAAATATGTTAGAAAATTATTATTTACTTGCATTATTTTTATTTATATTGTTTAATTTTGGTTCCCAAAAGTGTGGAATAGTATAGATAAATGTCTTATACTTGCAACTGTTATATGCTGACATAACTCCAAAAAAGGGGAAGGATAGTCATGCAAATTTCTCAGCAAAAAAACAAGAACCTTGATTGGTTCCTTGGAAAAATATTACCCAAAGCATATGTTCATTTTAGCTTAAAAAAAAATCAACTGTTTACTTAAATGTATAGAACTGCCTCTAACAACTTTTAAAGTTTTTTGAAAGTGCAAGATAAAATTTGAGTTGGTAGAAAGAATATTTTGGATAATATATAAAATAGTATATAAGATAAATCATTTTTTTTTATTTGTTAAAAATGTTGACTTATTGGCCTAACTGGTTTGGCTCAGTGGATAGAGCACCAGCCTATGGACTGAAGGGTCCCAGGCTTGATTCTGGTCAAGGGCACATGCACAGGTTGTGGGCTCGACCCCCCAGTGGGAGGCATGCAGGAGGCAGCTGATTGGTGATCCTCTCACATTATTCATGTTTCTATTTCTCTCTTCCCTCTCCCTTCCTCTCTAAAATCAATAAAAATATATTTATTTATTTTTTTACTTACTACAGAATGGATTTATGCCAGTAGTATCCAAAAATACAGTCGTCCTAAGAGATGTTTTCATTCTTTCTTCTAAAACATCTTTCCATAGCTCAGCTTGATAACCTGATATTTTGAGAAATAGAACATTTGAAATTAGACTTCCATCAAAGAGCATGTAAAAACTTCAGATTCCTAAAGAAACTAAACCATTAATGCAAATTATTATTATTATTATTATTATTATTATTACTATAATAATTCATGGATTTTTATAACAAAACTTTTCAAATAACTTCACATTTTTAAATTACAATAACTGGTATTAAATTGAAGATTTACAAATAAATCCACTCCCTGGAAATCTTATCAGAACTTAATGTACTCTGTATGTCTAGAGTCCATTTGTACACATTTTCATTATTGTATTACAAGTTCAGAATTGTATCTGTAATTCTTATTAGTAAAGTTATCAGAATAAATCAATTAGATAAAACTTTAACATTAAACTTAGCTCTATGAGTACTTCCCCCAATAATTCTATATACACATTCATATAAAGATGTTTTGTCTATGTATACATTATGTACAATATAATAAAGTATAGGTAGTATTGATATGCACTATCTATTATGTAAATGATATATATTTTAGATACATACTGTTGTGATGTACCCTGAATCTCACAAAGAACACCTCATAAAAAGTAAAATTATGGAGTCATTTTATTAAAAGCCAGTGGCTGGTGAGGGGCTAAAGCTCCAAATCTCACAGCCTCGAACAGTTTGGCACTTCTGGCTTATATTGGCAGAATATCACAAAACTATCAATTACATTTCTGGGCCTGGAATTTGGAACCTGTTTTGCAATTTTACAGAAGTGAAACTGAGCAAGTTAGTTACCTAAAGTATCTCCGAATCACTGAATCGACAGGAACACACTGGGACAATTTAGAATAATTGTGCTGTCCAGATTCTGGGATCACTGAGTCAGCAGGAATACACTATCTGTAGCTACTGAGGCAATTTAGGATCATTGAACTGTCTTGGACCCAAGGAATGTGCTTCGAGTGCTTCGATGACCAGTGAGATCACAATCAATGGGATATTCAAACCATCATCAATGGAGTACTGGGATAGCATACATAAGTTCAGAAAATCAAAATAACTTTTAAATGAGTACAGAACCCAAAAACAGCAAGGTTAAAATATTAAATAACAATTTTTACCCAAGTATGGTTGCTTCCATACTTCAATACATTATAAGGAATGTATATTATACAAATATGTACATATTAAAATGCTTCTTCATGTATTTGTCTGTTTTCATATTGCTACCTCTAAATTTGAGATCTGAATATAGTAGAAAGGATACTTAACTTGGAATTCAGAGATTTAATGCCAGTTCTCACTTGTGCCCTGAAGCAATCCATATGTTCACAAGAGGTTTCCTATTTATATGGAAAAGCAATGGGACCAGAAAAGCAACCCCCAACATAAGGTATGAAGAAAATGAATTCTACAAAATGTCTGTGAACTGACTACAAGAAAATAAAACTGGCAAAGCTTGTTTATTTCCTACCCTCCATAGCAATTCTCTGTACCTCAGTGCAAAACTCCTGCTGAAGAAAATTGCAGGAAGCTGTTCAATTTAGCCTTTGTAATTGCTGCCCATTCAATTGAGCCCCTTGGCTTTGGAAACATATCCGGCAGATCTTGTCATGACACTGATCCGATGTTTACATGCTCATGACACGCTTGGGGTCTGCTATTCTCTTTAGAATTTCTGAACAAATTGCCTTTGAGATTCTTTCCAGCTCTAACATTCTATTTTTATGTGGAATCTTTTTTCACTAAATTTCCCACTGGCAGGCTTTAGTTCTCAGAAGTGGCAACACTTAAATGCTCTTACCAAGCTTTATCAAGTAGAAGGTGAGAACCATGTATGAGTCATGTCTACTTGTTAATAACAAATGAAAAGTTAACAATGATTATGATCATACCTCTTCACTTGCTCTTAACACTAAAAAAAAAAATAAAAATAAAAAAAAAATAAAATAAAATAAAATAAAAACCAACAACAACAACACATCTCAGTGCCACTAAGAATTCACCAGTCTCTTTCTTTAGCGGAAATATAGATGAATGACAAATAGATAATAAGTCCTCTTGAATATAAAGAACATGGGTCATCATGAAACCACCAAATTTTTCCACTATATCAAGAATAGAAAGGCAGTTTATCAAGTTCCCTTCACTACACACATTAAAAATATTTAGTAAAAAGTGAACTATTTTTTCTGGTTACTACACAGATAATTTTTCCATAAAATGTTTGCATACAAATAAATATGAAAACTTACAGCAGCAAAATACTAATACAATTATGCTATACATTTTCCACAAAGAATTATACTAATTATAATAATCTCTCTTACCTAGCCTAGGACATGAATTCTTCTTAAAGTTGTCACAATCCACACATGAACCAGTCTTGTAATCTTTGTATGAATGACAAGGAAATGAAATAAAATTGCAGTTTGTTTCCAAAGCTGCCATGAATAAGTGGACGGCTCTCTGGTGGTCACATTTAAAAAATTTCATTCCTTACATGTTAAAAATCAAACAAAAGAATTGTAGATGCATTAAAGTAAGTTCAAGAAAATTGGAGAAAAATTAAAAATTAAGTTCTACTCAATACTGTTTTATGAATATTAAAATATTGACTACAATGCAGTTATTGTGAGCAACTAAATAAGTCATACAAATTAAAATTTAAGTTTAACATGCCCTTTATATCATATTTATAATCATTATCAGCAATTTTTTAATTTCAATAATTTAACAAACTCAAACATGGTGCTATCATACTTAATAACTAGTATATACATCTCTCTTTGCTAACCCTACACCCTTACATTTCTACTCAATATCATATATGTCCATAAAATATTAAAGCTTTATCATATCCCACCTGAGCCAGGTGGCTGAATTGGTTGGAGCATTGTCCTATACACCGAAAGGTTGCTGGTTCAATCCCTGCTCAAATATAGGAGGCAACTGATCAATGCTTCTCTATCACTTCTCTCTCTCTCTTTCTCTTTTTCACTTCTTCTCTCTGGAAAAATATATTCTCAGGTGAGTGTTTTTTTAAAAACTTTATCATGTCTATTTTCCTTTGCCAACTTCTCACATCCTTCTCCCCTTGACTAAACTGTTGCTGCAGTGGCATTTGGCAATGTGTTACTTGACTACTGTACAACTCAGAGCATTACTTGCTAAGGCTCTGAAGTTAGCCCAACCCCACACCTGGAGCAGTTGCTCAGCTATTTATTCACAAAACAACAAAGTGCAAGAACTTATAAATCTGTGTTTATACAATATTATGGTGACAGTAAAGATTAAGTTGTGAGCCCAGACTTGTGTTATATGATACTTGGCTACCTGTGCTCCTTCAATGACGTAAAACTTTTCCTAGTGTTAAAATTAAGAACTAAAATTGCTAAAAACATAAAGTACTAGTTCTCATCCATGACCTTTACAAAGAAGGATAGAACTTAACCATTTTTCACCAATAACTCCTGATTCATGGGTAATAGTGGTCAAAATACCTTAAGAGGGGAAAAAAATATATACTGATTTCCTTTCATCATTTTGAATCACATGTAATTCATGTGAAAATACTATTGATATACCTGCAAATATTGATTTAGGACAGCCAGGCTGCTTTTTTCCTCCATTTGGATAAAAATCTATATGTCCCAAGGGTTCTTTAATGCCTAAACCTAAGAAGAAAAGCAACCAAGAATCATAAAATGCATATAATCAGATCAACAATACTTGTATAAAATAAATGCTCCTATAAATCTATTGAAAGAGACTTTTAAAAATTTTAATTGAAAATAACATAAATGCAATGTTTAAGAAGATGAGTTTTTCTGTCACTAATTCCTCAAACTACTACTGGCTAGGATGCTGAGAAAAAGGAACCCTCATGGACTGCTAGTGGGAATGTAGACTGGTGTGCAGCCACTGTGGAGAACAGTATGGCGACTCCTCAAAAAACTAAAATTGGGCTGAAACCGGTTTGGCTCAGCGGTAGAGCGTTGGTCTGCAGACTGAAAGGTCCTGGATTCAATTTCGGTCAAGGGCATGTACATTGGTTGCGAGCTCATCCTCGGTGGGGGGTGTGCAAGAGGCAGCTGGTCGATGTTTCTTTCTCATCGACGTTTCTAGCTTTCTATCTCTTTCCCTTCCTCTCTGTAAAAAATCAATACAATATATTTTTTTAAAAAGAACTGAGTAAAGTGATAACGTTAACTGCTCAGCCTTTATAAAAAAAATTTAAAAATTAAAAAAATTTTTAAAAAAAACCTAAAATTGGAACTCCCATTTGACCTTGAGATCCCACTTCTTGGAATATATCACAAGAAACTAGAAACACAAATAAGAAAGGATATATGTATTTTTATATGTTCATAGCAGCAAAATTCAACATAGCTACTAAGATTTGGAAACATCCTAAGTGCCCATCAGCAGATGAATAGATTAAAAACACTGTGGTATATCTACACAATGGAACACTATGCTGCAGTAAAAAAAAAAAGGAATTCTTACCATTTGCAACAGCATGTATGGAACTGAAGAGCATTATGCTAAGCAAAATAAGCCAGTCAGAGAAAGATAAATATATGATCTCACTCATTTATGGACTATAATGAACATAAGTGATTAACAAAAACAGATTCAGAGACATAGAAGCATTGAACAGACTGTCATTACCTCAGAGGGAAGGTAGGAGAGGATGGGGGTAAGGGGATAAGAGATCACCAAAGGATTTGTATGCATGCATATAATCCTAACCAATGGACACAGATACCAGGGGGTTAAGAGCATGAGGGGGAGAAGGGGAAGGAGGGCAATGGTGGGATAAGAACACATATGTAATACCTTAATCAACAAAGAAAAATATTATATATATTAAAATACTGGTAAAGAAATAGTAATTCAGAAGACCCTAGTGTACCCTATCCAATCGCAGTTTCTCTCTTTCCTCTAAAAAAAATATTTTTTATTAATAAAATCTTTCATTTAGCTATCTCTATCATTTCAACATGCCTCACAAAACACTACAATTTAAATTTGTCCCTTTTAGCTGAAACCGGTTTGGCTCAGTGGTAGAGCATTGGCCTGTGGACTGAGGGGTCCCAGGTTCGATTCTGGTCAAGGGCATGTACATTGGTTGCAGCACATCCGTGGTAGGGGTGTGTAAGAGGCAGCTGGTCGATGTTTCTCTCTCATCAATGTTTCTAGCTCTCTATCCCTCTCTCCTCCTCTCTGTAAAAAATCAATAAAATATATTTTTAAAAATTGTCCCTTTAAAAAAAATACATAAATTGATTTATACTTCATGTGTGCTTTTGTGACTGGCTTCCTTAAACTGTTAGTATATAGGGCAGGGCAAAAGTAGGTTTACAGTTTTTCATATGGAAAATAATAAAAAAAAATCTTAACAAATAATGCTACAAGAATAAACTCTGGGTTTTATGTATTCACAACTGTAAACCTAATTTTGCCCCACCCTGTATTGCTTATATAAAACCACATTGTCAGGTAAATATGCAATGTCAAAAATCTTTGTTCCCCATATGTGATTCTCATAAAAAGATTACCAAAGATATCAACTCTGTGGCAGCTAGTGGCAACTTAGATTTGAAGAGCTTTTCATCAAAAGATGTTGAGTATAGTTGGCCCACCATATCGATGGGTTCCACATCAATAGATTCAATCAACCACAGATAAAAAATATTCCAAAAAAAAGATATTACATTGTTTCTGACATGTGCTATGTAGTTAGGCCTATTATGCTTACATCTCTATTGAACAGTCCAGACTTTTTCTTGTCATTATTCCCTAAACAATATAGTATCACAGTTATTTATATAACATTTATAATATATTAGGTATTAGTAAGGGAGAGATAAAGTATGTGGGAAGATGTGTGTAGCTTACATGCATATTGTATACTGTGCCATTTTATATATGGGACTTCAACAGAGCTGCGAATTTGGGTATCTGAGGGGTCCTGAAACCAATACCCCATGGATACCAAGTGATGATTGCCTATGCCAATCCAAAGGAGTTTATTAGGAAAAGTGAAATATACAAACAAAAATACTAAAAAGTATACATAACTGATTCAAAAGGCCATAGACAGAATAGATATAGGGATTTCAGGAAGAAGAGTTCAGACAAAGAACTTAAGAGTAATTGGGCAACAACTGTGCAGTGTGTAGGAATGTTAAGCTGATATACAAAGTTAGAGATAAAGGTGACTTGAAATGTTGGGGCTATTGTACTCAAACTATGGAACTTTGGGCACGGTAGGTGAATTTAGATTTTAAATAAGGAGCAGAAATGCTCCCACTATAATTTCAGTCAATTGGCATATAGACATAGAATTTGAAAAATTATCTATGGCATATATGGCATTTATATTCCTTACAAAAGCATTGCCACAAGGTAAATTCAGAGGAATATGGAAGCAAATAAATTACCTAGACCAAAGAAAAAGAAACTCAAGGAAACAGGGGAGTATGAGCAGTCCAGTGTCATTTCCTCCTGTCTCTATCTTAACACCATAATCTTCTCATACCCACAACCACAACACACCTTAATCAGAGCAACATACTAGCAAAATGTAGACTCTGTAATCAAAAGGTTTCATTTTAAATTCTGCTTCCACCACTTGCTGGCCTTGTGACCTTGACCCTAGCTTCCCCATTGGTAAAATGTGAATGATAATGTTTACATATCTCATAGGGACCTAGAAGAATTCCACAATTAATTCACATACACCTAAAGCATTGCTTGTTGTATAGAAAATGTTCAATAAATCTGTATAAAATATCTATATATATATATATATATATATATATATATATATATATATGGCTAACTGTCCATCCTTTCCTTCAACTGGTAGCTATGATGCACACTGACCTCCAGGGGGCAGACACTCAAAGCAGGAGCTGCCATGATGTGCACTGGCTATTTACAAATAAATGTCACCATGAACCTGGCACCAACAAACCAACACTTGGCTTCCCCCAAGTGGGACATAGGCCCTGCCACCACCCTGGAGCAACACCCCACTGAATTGCATCCAACACTTCCAAGACCCCATGGTGCAAAATGTGGCCCACAGCCCAGCCCAGACCAGCCCAGAAATGGTCCCTGTGGGCGCCAGGTAATGACATCAGTAATTATAGACAATACAATATGCTTCCTCTCCCTAGCGACTACCCTCCTTGGAATTTCTTCAGCCCAGAATATGACTTGCTTTATAGGCAAATGCAAACATTTTACAGTTTAACCAAATGTTAGTGAAGCATTTTCACCTGCCTATTTCATTTGATCCTCACAGAGTCCTGGAGTAGGTAGATAGGAGACTCAGTAGAATCCTATTTTCTTTTCATTAGCCAAAAAACAGAGGTTTGGAAAGTTTAGAAACTTGTCCCGATTGAAAAGAAGTAAGAAATGGCAGACCTTGAAAATGACTTCAAGTTTTCTCACTGCTCAGAATATAGTCAAACACTGCTACTGTGAAATATTTTACCCTTCGTTCTCCCTGCGTGATCTACAATATTGTGTTGATATTTACTGCTGTGTTGCTGACAATTACCTAAAAGAGAAGTTGGGGTACTTCACTGGGCTGGAAAAAGTTTAGCTAAATCAGAAAGCAGATCTAATTAAGCAAGTTTATTATATATATATATATATATATATATATATATATATATATATATATATATATATATAAAAGGCTAAGTTGACTCACACATGCACGATACATATAAAACTCTTTCTGGCACCAATTGCATATGTTTTGATCTGTCATTGTCAATCATAAATTTGGTTGTTTTTGTTGACATTATGAAGCCTAAAGAACACAGCAGCATTGACAGAATATATCTAAAGACCAACTATTGCCACAAAAGAAACTGGCGTTGTTCATTGTAAATCAGATCCCAATAATTCAAATGCTGCTAAAACAAAACAAATCAGTGTCCTGTTTCCCACATTAGATGCAATGACGTGTGCTATTCTTTTTCCACATGGTGAAAAAGGCTGAGGAATGAATATTGCATTAAGACTCAGAGACAATAGTGTAATGGACAATGATACTAGACAAAATGTAAGGAACTGAGTCACACAAATGCAGTATTATGGATTTCATCTCTTCATTTGGAACACATTCAACCCTATTTTAAATGTTGTTATATTATTTTGTTATTCTTTATTAATCTATTTATATATTATTTTCATGTACATTTTACTAATTTTCTTTCATTTCTGACACTTCTATTACAGAGATATGGCAATAGCAATATTAAAATATTCCTTCTAATTAATTTCCTTTCAATGTGCATGAATCCCTGCAGCAGTCCACTAGTATTATTATAATGAGTGTCAAAGGTCTCAGGGTCAACTAAATTATTTCTTGTAAGTGTCTGTCCAATGTATTCTGGCCCAAACTATCAATAGTCTATTAGAGATTTTCAGGAAGATTAAAGAAATTATTTTCCTACCAGTGAGGAAAGGTATTCCTTACCTGTGCCTGAATTGCTGTGGTCAGTTCTAGGTGATAGAACTAGAAAATGAGTGGAGAGAATGGTAACTTAAATACATTAAGCATGGGGGAAACTGTGATCAAATCAATAAAACTGCCAATAAAATAGTCAAGATGAAGTATTTTTTATAATTTTCAAATTTTTTGGATGACAAGACAGTTTTTGAAAACCTGAAGGAGGGAAACTGAAGGCAAAGAGTGCCATTTGGTGCCTCAGAATTTCACTAACTCCAAAAAATACTGCTTGTGAGAAATACAGCCACTACATAGTTACAGATGTATCATCACTTTATCTCCTACACTTTCTCTTCTTAGGTTCTCCTATTCAAGTGTTTACATCCCATTTTTCATTTTCACATAATTAATCAATAAATCCAGCATTGTTACCATCAGTATCAGAATGAATGACATCCACAAACTTTGCATCAGTGTAATGTAATCTGCCATTTGATGGTTTTCTGGAGAATTTTGGTCCAGCAGGGTCAAGTCCTGAAATTCAACAAAGACACTATCAATCTATTATTCAAATTCTACTATAATGTTCACTAGATCATATGCTTTCATTATTATTACATCATAAATATAAACCTGTATAGTTTTAGCTTAAATCTGTCTAAAAACTAATTTAAAAATAAATAAAATTGGATAAATAGCAAGTATCTTTACTGTGTTAATAACTAGAGGTACAGTGCATAAAATTCATGCACTCGGGAGGGGGGTCCTTCATCCCACACTGTGCTCTCTCTTAATCCGGGACCCCTCGAAGGATGTCCACCTGCTGAGGGGGATCGGGCCTAAGCCTTCAGTTAGACATCCCTCTCACAGTCTGGGAGCCCTCACTCCTTACCACCCCCCTACAGCAGAGGTGGGAGAGGCTTCTGCCACAGTCACTGCACTCACCATCCATAAGCCCAGTCTCTAGCTGAGTGGCACTCCCACAGGAAAAGTGCACTGACCTCAGAGAGCAGCTCCTACCTTGAGCATTCGCCCCTTGGTGGTCAGTGATTGTCATAGCGACTGGTCATTCCACCATTTGGTCAATTTTCATATTAGAGTTTTATTATATAGGATACTGTTTACCAATTTTCAGAGTTTATTAACAATATACTATTAATAAGTCACACAAGAGATGCCTCAACAAAATATTGTAGTATTTTTTAGCAATTTTATTTAAGAAGTAACTAGAAAAAATGGTAGAACTTTAATAATAAATAACTACTACTACTTCTGAGGGGGGAAAATCAGTACCATTCCAGTCCTGTGCATTACTAGTTCATCCTGGATCTGTCTATAGGTCTAAAATAATTGTTAGGTGTCAGATGTAATTTGGGTTGTAAGATAAAATACATTTATTATTGTTTTATATTTAAATAAACATTTATTTATCATTCACTTCTCACAAAAGTTTACCACACACATAAGACAAATATATTTAAAGTTCCATGAAATATGAATAAATTCTGATATATTTGAAATTATAAATAAAAAGTCTTGGCTCATGATTTTCTGGATAATTTCAAAAAAGGGAGGTAGGAGATAAAAGTCAATGACTTGATAACATATACACAATGGAAGAACTTGATAACATATACACATCATCTTTAAAAGAGATTTTAAAAAGTAAAATATGTTGATTATCTCAGGCCCTTCTATTATTCTTGTTTAGTTAGCCCACTCACTTTCAATAAGGCAGAAAATTCTCTCTTCCTATAAGTGATTCTTATGTAGAAGCACCACATTTCCTGGACTTGTAAACTTTCATACTTGCTAGACATGTATAACCTTTCAAATTGGACTAATATGTGAGTAAACACACCTTAAAACAAAGTAGGTTTACCACCAGTTGAAACTGGTTAATGTGGTGATTGAAAAGAATGGGCTTTGGGTGCTAGAGAACTTGGTGTAAATTATGGCTTAGCTGTTGCTAACTTTTTAACACTTTCACATTCATTCAATTAACCACATTTTCCACATCCATATAATGAGAATGGCACTAAAACTGATCAAGGCAAGGAAGGTATATTAAAGGTTTGTAAACATCCTAATAATCTGTACAAGTTATCCACTACTCTCCCCTTTGCTTAACTTTCCTAAAAAATTCTATTACCTTTTACTTACCCTTGAAATTATTAAAAATCTTCTATGGACATCAATCTCCATAATTCTTAAAAAGCTAAATTGGTTGGGGAGGGATAATATCCTACCAGTTCTCAAATCACCATTATGCTAGTGGCAGGTGAGTACTAGAATTATTGGAGGAAGTCACTTCAAAAGTATATAGCAATCTAACCACTATACTGTATTCCTGAAAATTATACTAATGTAATTGAAAAATAAACATTAAAAATAATAAAAAATTAAAATGAAATACTCACTGATTGACACTTAGGTTGACTGTGAGGTCTGGGAAACTACTTGGACCCTTAGACCACTTGTTGCTGAGAAATGCGGCCTTACTGGCTGGATGGCATTACAGGCAGAGAGAGAATCTGGATACCACCTTCCAGTAGCACCTCCACACTAACTGAGTGGAAGCAATTGCCCTGCCTAGTGAGGCCACTTCTGCCACTGTCCCCAGAAATCAGTACATGCTTCTAGAAAATGAAGAGCAAAGAAAAAGAAGGCCTGCATTCAAATTCAGACTCTCTCACTAATTGGCTACACCTCAGAGCTAGGAAGACCAGGTGGCCCTAATTCTCCCATGATGGGTGGCTGTGCTGTGTGGCTCTCATTATATGGCTCTCATTATGTGGCTCTCATTATATAATGAGTGTCATTCTCATTATATGGATGTGGAAAATGTAGCTAATTGAGTGAATGTGAAAGTGTTAACTCAAGGGAGCACCTTTTCCATCGTATCCTAGAGAAGTACAGATGTACTTATGCGGCCATGCTCTGTGACTTTAGGCCAATTCATCCCTACCATAAATGGAAGTGGCCCATATAAAGAAAATCTGTAATTCCTACAAAATTCACCAGCATTCCTAAAGGGAAGCATGAAAATCCATGTCAGAATTATTTAGTTATCATGCTTACTGTAACTTTGTTATAGAAATATGAGGGTAACTGGGACCTGGAATCCCTTAAATTTAAATACAACTCCCAACTTTCCTATTGTTCCAGTAAAATTTTTAAAAGAATTGAAATACATCAAATTTTGTATTAAAATTTGAAATTAAATATAGTACATGTTTATATTTTTATTTAATACATGAAAAAGCTTCATATTTAATGGGCCAACTTTTTCTTTGTATTGTCAAAATAATGTTTTTAAAATTCAAATGGGGCTGCAGAAGTTGATCTGATTCTTTTCAATTCTATAAGAGTAACATGCTCAGCTAAGAACCAAACAAAACTTTTAAATCTAACTAAAATAAAGACAAGCATTTGAATATACAGTAATTTAAAAAAATAAATATTTGTACATATTTTTATGGCTTAAATATTATAGCTATTAAAGTTTAAATAAGGTAACTTCTGATTCTTAAATGTATGCAAACACATTAATTGTATAAAAAAATTACCTGTTATTCTTCCAAGTTGACCTTGAAATATCTTTCCAACAAATCCACTTATATGAGCCCCTAAGCTCATACCTATGAAATGAAAATTATCAAGAGATGCTCCATGCTTCTACAATAGAAAGTCAGTGTTACAATTTTCATTTCATAAAGTCGCAAATTATACCTGTTGCATCAATATTTTAAAATGTGTTACTTTTTCTAGCTTAATCCATTTCTGGAAGATAGAAAATAAGACTTTATAATTTTAAAGATAACTATATTTTTGTTCAACTTCTTCCATGAAATATCTGATTTTTCTCTACATGTTTTTAATAATTACATTAAATTTTTATTTAAAAACCAGAGGCCTGGTGTACAAAATTCATGCATGTGTGGGCTCCCTAGGCCTGGTCAGTGATCAAGGCCGATTGGGACCAGGCCAATCAGTGCAGGGCTTGAGAGGAGACAATGGTCACCAGGCCAGCTGCCGAAGGAACAGTAGCTAGATGCCAGTCACTGGCACCCCACCACTGTGCGATTCCCCACCTCCCTGCACCTCCTTCCCTTGCCATCATGCCACCACCATGGTGGACAGACAGAAGGCTGGGGGGAGGGACAGGGCACAAGAGGTTGGCCAAGGGTCCCGAGGAGGGAGCCAGTCCTCAGCCCCTCTGAGAAAGGGACTGCATCCACCACCACCCATCCCTGGTTCCCCATCCCAGCTTGGAGTTCAGGAGGGAGGGACCATGGGAGGTTGGCTGGCCTGGGGAGGTTGGCTGTTGGAGCACACTGATTAAGTGTCTGGTGGACAAAGCATGTTATAGTGACTGGTCATTCGGGAGACTTAGGCTTTTATATACTATATATAGATGTTAAAACCTCTGTCATCTATTATCTAGAATAATATATGCAAAATAAAACATTTAATTAGTAAATAATTGTATAACAATAATAATTAGACATTATTGGGTACTTACTTTGTACTAGCTACCTTGACAAGTGCTTTATAAATCTGATATTTAATATTCACAATAGTTCTGTGAGTCATTTATTTTTATCCTATTGTTCCTAGAACGTATGAAATGCACAGTAAATATCATTTGATCTTAAGTTGCCCAAAGCCAGATGTATTTATTTCTAAAAGCTAAGAAGATGTATTTCTAGTCCAGGTTTGTTTAACTCCAAATTATATTCTCATCATACTGTGTCAAATATTCTTGAAAGACTGAACAGTTTGGATCATCTTCATTTCAGAGATGATAAAATGAGACTCATGGTGTTTGAGTGATTTCCCCAGATCACAACAAGCTGGAGAATGATGAAATCTGATCTTCCATGCCAAATTTTAGATACCTCTCTGAGCTTCAGACACCCCTCCTTAGCGGGGGTGGAGGCCAATTAGGAGCTTAAATGAGGGAGAATTTCTTCCTCCAACCTCCAAGTTGGAGGAAGTGAGAGTCCATTTTACACAGTGACACATCCGATGGCTTGTTGAAGATATAGAGCATTTACTTCTAATGAGAAGTTAAACATATGCTTTACAAGCTCAGGGTGGTAATTTTCTTCAAAATTTCAGAGCAATGCCCAGAAACCTGAGGGAGTATCACTTTCAAGTTTAGCACTACTGATCCTATCATCTCTTCCCCTTAATATGAAGCTTTTGTAAGCAAAGCTACTCTTAGAGGCATATCTAACACTACAAATTTTCCTAAATTTTTCTATTTCACATCCACATTTTCCATACTTTAAGATACATGTTAATTAAAGAGCACTGCTATATGGAAAAAATCAATTATGAATTTCATAGATTATCCATAACAACAGGTGAATCAATTACCTCTCTCTAGATGGATGGTTTGGCTTTGCCCACATTTAAGTATATAAAAATAATTAGGATAAATTATTTTTGTCAATGATTATTATATTATATAATAGCCACTGGTTAAAAATTAATTTTATTTAAAAGTTAACATTGATAAAAAGTTTTGTCATTCCAACTGTATAGCTAAGGAAATGAGGCAGAGACTTTAAGCAATTGGTCAAAGTCACACAGATGATGAGATGGGTTGGGTCTTGGAAACCCTCCGGTCTAGTTCCTAACCTCTGCATGGAACTGCTTGGATGTGACATGCTTGCTCAATTTGAGCAGAGACTTGGAAATTAAGCACAACACAATTCAAAGGCCATGAATGTCCCCCAAATCAAATATCACCCTTCTTTCTCTTGAGTGCACATCACCACCACCTATATCTGGAACAGACATGGGTCTCCATATGGATTGACATAGTAAGGACAGATGACCTAAAAATGTCCTGAATTTATTTCACTCACCCCAACCCTGGACCTAAATGCTGGACAAATATGAATGAAACTAAGACCTCCTCCAAGGTTGGCAGAAATAAGCTACTTTTCAAGTTGTTTTTCTCTAATTTTTACCAATTTACACTTTATTAACTGTAAATTATAAGCATACTAGCTATATATTAGAAAAACTAAAGTATCTAATGATTATATAGTTTATTCCCTATGTCTAACAGAATCAGTATTATATCTTGAAATCTGTGTAGAGATAAAAAATTAAAATCTTAAAAGATAAAACATAATAACTTAGTCTTTAACATATTTTTAAAATTAGGACAAGTCACATCTAGGTATAAAATTATCCATTTACATAAACAAAAAAGGATGACTGCATACATTAGCATATCAAGCAATAATTCTGAATTTTGAGGGGAAAAAAAGCATAAAGCATTAAAAGTATTAAAAAAAGCATTCTTTATTAACACTTGGTAGTCTTGCATAACCCTCTGCATATTGTATAACATATATAATATATAATTTTCCAGACTTACCAACAGCTTCTGAATGCACTCACTCAAACTCACAGCAACTTTTCTGGTGTTTTTAACAGCTCTATCATAAATAAAAGTTGTGGCACCCCGGTTCCAGTCCACCACAACTATATTTACATCATATTGATTCAACAAAATCCTTAAGAAGTTCTGAAGCCAAGATGGAATGGAGCCCAGTGGTCTGTATCCATGAACAAGCCAGACTGTTTTCTTACTTGTGTTGAAGTTAACATTAAGTGAATTATCCTGCTCCAACAGTGGCTCAGCACAATTTAGGTTGTTCCTTGTATACATTATCAAAAATATCTCCATTTTGGGATTAAACAAATCTCTGAAGGAATCTTTTATAGTTAGCTCAGAAAATTTCAGGCATGGTCTTTTATTCTCTGGAATAAAAAAAATTCAGTCAAGCTGAGTACTGAGATAGTATTTGATTCCATTCCCATTGCTCTTGCAAAAAGCAAAACTGAACTTGAAGGGTAGGAAGAATTTACCATAATTTCATTAGCAATTCACAATTTACTGAGTAATTACAATGTTGATGTGCTGATTATGTAAAAAGAATTTTTGAACTAGAAGTATTTAAAATTTACTATAAAATATAGAAATAAATAAGATTTGGTTAAAAATTAAAAATTATTTTTATCTGTACCATATAGTAATAGTTTGAATAAAATTATTAACATTATTAATAAAGCAATAAAATTAGATAAGTAGATTATGAACTTTAACTGATATTCTGCAGAAAATAGTTACATATGGATAGCATTAGAAAAAATATATTTTACCTGACTAGTGATCAAATAAATATAAATAAAAAATAACTTATAATTTTATTCCTATCAAATTAAACAATAGTAGAAAATTCATTTTAATACTCAATATTTGTGAGAGTTAATGTAACAAATATTAATTTACATGGATACTGATGTATAATACAACATCCTTTTGACATTTTATATGTTTGTGTGTCTATCACACAGATAATCTTAAAATATTTATTCTTCCTGATTTTTTTCTAGGATTTATATTAATAAAATAAACAATTATATTAAATGTAAAGACATAAATCACAGGGTTATGCATAAGTACACCAAAATTTAAGACACTTTAAATATCCTCTTATAAGTCTTCTCATGCATATGTTCATCTTATCTATTTACTTTCCTACCTGCCTATTCACCTATCCATCTAACTATTCAACCTAGAAAGAAACAGGGAAGAAAATAAATGACTAAGCCAAATCAATAATAGTAGCCATTGCTGGGCTGTGAAACAATGGCTACTTTATATTTTCTTTTTCATAGTTTTTCAGAATTGTAATTATTTTTAAAAATAAGTATATAATACCAATTTTAAATCAGATTATATGCTTGTACTACTTCTGAATGTTTAACTTGGTATGAAGAAGTGAGAAAACTATTTCCTAATATATAAGAAAGTCACAGAAGTGTTAATATACTTTATCACAGTAATATCACTTATAAGATTGTCCCAAGAAAAGAGTTTCACACACATTAAAAAAATAACCAATATAATTTCAATACTGGAGAAATAAAAGTTATATAAATGCCCAAATAATAATTTGATTAAGTGAAATATATATGATAAATATAAATATGTTTTAATATATAAATATAATATATATGATAAACCATAATAATGTTATTATTTATTCATTAAAATCACTCCAGTTTAGAAAGTATATATGTACTATTATCACAATGATTTAGAAGAAGATATAGGAGAAAGGCAATAAAGGAAAACAAGACCTACATTTAACTTCCAAGTTAACAGTGAAGAGATACTTGGACAAGATAGTTGGAAAATTTCTGATACTTCATTTATTCTAAGTACTAGGGAATGAGGAAATTAAGAAAAGGGATAAATCAAACCACAGTACAGTATCAGTTCTTACTAGACTATACAAATTGTATAATGAATTGTGTCCATCCATATTCCCACCATCTGGAACTGTAAGAAGACCAAATGCAATTGATATATCCAAACTGCTGGTCCATTCCAAGCCAAGTTAGGCCTTGGAATGATTAATGAGGAATAAATCAATAAAATCCCTGCTATGATATAAGGAAAAGAAATCACCCAAAACAATCAACAGAGAGATCTATTATCCAATACCAGTTGTAGAATTGATTGCAGAAAACTATAATACACTTATTAGACTGCAAGGACAATAATGTTTTGTTTTTTTTTAAAAAGGAACAGGAAGCCATTGGTATAAAATTTATTGGGGTAAAAATACCAAAAATTAAGATGAAACATGAAATAATGAGAAACTCCTATTAAGAAAAAGTAAAATTACAATTGCAGAATAGAAAGTCACATTAGTTATATTAAAACACACATGGAAAGCTCACTTTAAAGTAAGAAAAAATAAAAATTAAAATTACAACAGAAAACAAAGATATGGGACAGACAATGATAATTCAAATTAAAAATCATCAGTGTTCTCCTGGGTGGAGTGGGGGGAGAAATATGGAGATGGGAGAGAATGGTGGTTACAATATTTAAGAAAATAATTGCAAGCCAGTGTGCAATATTGATGCCATATTAAATGTTAAATACAGTACTATATAAAACTGTCCATACAACTTTCAACACACTAAAAAATATAAAAGAATAGCAAAGACAAGAAGAAAATATAAAAAGTTAAAAGCACAAAAACAATAAAATTACAATAAAAAATATATATATATATATGAACAGTTATATAGCTGTTTATATATATATGTAGCTTTATAAAGCCTGAATATTAAAAGCAAAGAATCTCAACTTTCACAGAAAAAATAAATAAAACTGAACTACGAATATTTGAAAGAAGCACACATGGGATATTTTCAATAGAGATGTGAGTATATTCTACTCGAAAGGAAAGTATGTTAATATACTAGATTTCAAACATTGATTCCAATTTAACATCTTTTTCTGAATCCATTCCATTTGTGTGTTTTTCTCCCTTTACAGGTAGGGTGGCTTGCTCCACTTGATTGATATGATTGTTATATATCATATAAAATATTGTGAACATATTTTTACAAACTCATCAAAGTGTACATTTAAATAATACATCTTATGGTGTATAAAATTAAATTTAATAAAGTTAAGTTTAAAAACTTGAAGCATAACAAAGGTCTAATATTTTTGCAAAATAGAAAAATACAAAGCTTAACAAATAATTTTTATAAGCGAGATTAACTCTAATATCAAAAAATAATATAAATAAAGCCATTTTACAATCAAGTTGGAGCTGCCATCCCAGAGGAATTGTATTGCATTGCAGGTCTTACTCTTTAACATTGTATCTCAAACAACTGTTTGCAAAGAAACAAGAAAATGGATATTATTACTATTGTATTAAAAATTAAAAGCATACTTTAGAATTAATTTAGTTTATTAGCATCCATATAAATGACTTTCTTCTGTTGAAGTAATTGTTCCCTTTCCTTTCTCATAAATACCCCTTGCCTTCATCTTCTATTCAGAATATTACTTGGGTTTCTGCCTGAATCAGTGCTTCCAACTGAGCTATTCTTTTCAATCTCAAATAAATGTTGTTGCCTCTCACATTGACCTATTGTTTTTAGGTTAACAGGACAAATACACAGACACACACATAGGACAAATACACACAGACACATAGCTACATACCCTTCCAACTCATGCAGCAATCTAAAAGAAAAATTCCCAAGTAATATGCTGACAAACATACAGAGCAGTTCATAGTACAATCCATAGCATAAAACTATGACAAGAATAACTTTAATTAGTACTATCTATAGATATAAAAGGCTAATATGCAAAGTGACCCCTCAGAAGTTTGGGACACTGGAAGTTTGATTGCTCACTATGACGTGTGCTGACCACCAGGGAGTGGTGAGGAATAAAGAAAGGCCCCTGCCCGCAGCCAGAAGGCCCTGATTGGCCCTGATCGACAGCCAGGCCTAGGGACCCTATCCACGCATGAAATTCATACACCAGGCTTCCAGTTTTGAGTAAAATATAATTATTTTTAGTAAAATTATAAAATGCTATTTATTTAAAGCCAATAGTGATTATTATATTAATGACTGAACACTAGTGACATATTTCCATTAAATTTTAAAAGCATAAAACATCTGCTATCACACTAAGGAATTTTTTAAGCATTCTAATTTAGCCAAAAGAAAAAGGAATAAAAAGGAATATGATGTAATCATTGAATGCAGAAATTATTCTTTTTTTTTTTTTTTTTGCGTGTAATATAGCAAAAATGTGGAAATAGCAATGAAAGAAATAATCCAATAGGGAAATTTAGCATCTATATTAACAATAGAGAATATGCAAATTGTCCGGGATGCCATCACATAACGACTGTTCAGCAGGCTTCGTCCCCGCCCACTGCTGAGGCAGCTACAAGGACTGGGTAGGGAGGATAGGGTATGATAGGAGAGGATAAGAAAGGAGAGGGAGAGTAAGGCAGGCCTGAATGCAGACAGGCCTATAGGAGAAACAAAATACAGAAAGGGAATAAGAAAAAGACACAGGAATAGAAAATGGAAGGAAATGCAGGGCTGCAGAGGGAGGTGGTAGCGATCACGGATGGGGGGGTCAGCTACGCCCAGCGAGGGGCAGGGCACAGGTGGCATGGGGCAGGGAGCCCTGCCCAGATGCAGAAGGAGGGCAGTGGCTCCCCATGCACATCATTGGGATGGAGGGGTGAATGGTCCAAGGCCTTGGATACCCTCGCTGGGTCAGGCACCCCATGCTGGGAGGGGAGGCTCAGCTTAGACACTAAAAAGGTTACTGCTTTCATCCCCAAGGGATGGACCTCAAAGACACTGGCCAGGGTTAGTTTGTTGACTAGAAGTTGGGGCATCCTGAGCAGGAAATGGGAGGAGGATGGCAGTGGGGAGGCCAGAGAAGGGGGTGGGGGGTGGCGAAAGCCTGCCTGAGGCTGGTCCTGGGCTGGGGGTTAATGTCCCCCCTCCCCCAATGGAAGCTTTAATATCAAAGTGCGCTCAGGCAGGGCTGGAAGCAGGTCCCAGAGAGGAAAGGGGAAGGTTTAAAAGAGAAACCAGTGAACGTGGAGTGGGGCAGAGGCGGGGTAATAACAGAGAATAGAGAGGCAGGATTCAGGCTCACCAGGAAAAGGCTAATGGGGGGAGGGGAAAAGAAGTAAGAAGGAGACAGACATGGGGAATGAAGGGAGAGAAGGGAGGAGGGAGAGGGGCCTTGGGAGGTTCAAAAGGAGGGCGGGAAAGAAAGCAGGAAAGAGAAGGATGCTAAAAGGAGTGAGGCCAGGAAAAAAGTTAAATAAAAAGAACAGAATGTGAGCATGAGGGAGTTTAAAAGAAGTTAGTAAGAAAATTAAATACAGGGTGATTTTTTTAAAAGTGTAGTCAGTCACACATCCCCTGAGGGCTCCCAGACTCTGAAAGGGTGCAGGCTTGGCTGGCTGAGCCCCCCTCCTGTACACAAATTTCATGCACTGGGTTTATTTTACATATTTAAACATATAAATATGTGAAAATCAATAGTTTTGGCCTATGTTAGCAATAGCCAGTATAAAAATTGTAATTCAAAGAATTAAAAAATTCAAAACCACAAAGTATATATTTATTTTTATTACTATAAATATACATTGTTTCCTGCTTTACAGCTTTTCTTCTTGAAAACTTAACTCACCATGCTAAGTGATTTTTTTTTTAATTAACCATAAATGCATGCTCTTCCTCCATCCCTAGTCAATCTAAATATCCAACCAGCCTAGACCCAGCCCTGAACCACAAGAGGATGTAAAACCAAACTGGGACATTCTGGATCCTTTTGGGGAAGTTAACATAGATTCTGAAGTTTTGGCAGTAAACTGTTAAAAATATAAAAGTTATATGGTGACGTTAGGAACAATCACTCTAGGTCATTCAGCTGTGTCCCTGAAATATTTTTCCACGATAGTAAGAATGGCTGTGAAGAGGAGGACGGGGAGATCAAATGGACAGAGTTCCAATGTGTGGGCAGTGGGCTGGACATAGGTAGCTATGGCTTAAGAGTCTCTAGCTTCTCTCAAACATCTCTTATGACTTAACAATTTCTCTTTTTCTTCTCATCTCTAAGCCTTGGTTTCTTCAAATAACTCAGTTATTCTAACTTTCTTGATTTCAAACCAAATCTTAGAGTTGGTAACCTTCGGAAACATGTTAGCCTGTTTTGCAATTTTCAGCGTTGACCAAATCAATATCAGAGGCCTCAAAATTCAGCTATAAAAAGCTACTAATCCTCTCACATTCTGGAAAGATTTAACCCTTCTTCCTCAGTAGTCCTCTCCAAACCCACACTCATCTCAAAAGCCATATGAAAACCTCTTTCCTTCTCTGGCCTCATTTCTATAAACAAAATGTATTTGCTAACAGCAGTAACTATCAATCAACAATAATAATGGCATATGATCATTAGCAATCATTCCATGTGAGGCACTGCACTGCTTTATATTTGCTATATATCCTTTCCCTCATTTAATATATGAAGCAAGTGAAGTTTTATGAGATCAAACAATCTGCCCAAGGTCACACAATTAGAAGCAAGGGGACATTTCTGGGTGTGATCTGAAAAGCATGGACATATTTATGGCACATGTCATTATGTAAACAGTTGAACAACATAAATGAGACTATTAGAAGTTCACTAGTTCAGTTGTTTATTCGTGTGTAGTAAAAATGCAAACCTTTTGGGGCCAGCAGAATTCCAGGTACAAGCAATTGACTGACTGATGCTACAAAGGCAGAGGTTTATATGGCCATAAAGCCTGTTAAGGTGCAAAACTGTAGGTAGAACTTTAAAATCTCTGAAAGCTAGTGGCAGCACACAAAATTAGATGATATAAAAATATCTTGTTCTAGTTCTGAAGTGATCAAAGTGCATTGAGAATATATATAATTATTTAATATGTCCTAAGAAATCAAGATATTCAATCAGTAACTACTTTAGCTGGGCAAAATGTTCGAAAAGCTGTTGAAATGAAGCTGACTATGCAAGTCTTTAGAGCAGGAATTCCTAAATATGGGTTTAAAAATAAGTGTAAAGTGACTGGAAAAGCCAATAAAAATATAGCTTCCTGGAGCCATCCCCAGAGTTTCTAGTTTGATAGCTACCTCTGCATTTTTAATTGCATAATCCAGGAGATCCTGATACAGGTGGTCTACAGGCCACACAATGGCTAAGCCTAACACCTGAATATTGAGAGAATAACAGAGAACGTGGACATAGGAGAAAATATAATGGGTTACTCTACCCTAATTTATATTGTTTTATAATTAACCAAATCACACATTATGTTATCTCCTTGGAACTTCACAAGACAGAAAAAGAGTACTATACTTTTACTTCCATATACAAGTAAAAAAAACTGAGATTCAGAGGGGTTAAATAATTTGGCTTGGGATAACAAGCCACTAATACTTCACATTTTCCAAATTTTCAAGAATCAATGTACAGTAAATCAATTCATTTTTAAAATTAATGAATTAATATTGTTTGTGGCATCTGATTCAAGTAAATCAACTGGAATAATAAATTACTAGTCATATCAAAGATATTTTATACATTTTAGAGAAAAACAATAAAGAATTTGTTGAAACAATGGGCTCAGAATTCCACAAGTTTTAAAAAGATCATTGCTCTACAAACAGCCTACAAAGTAAGGTTCTACAAATTTCTAAACTCTTACCACCACTAAAAGAGTGGTTCTGATACTTTGTATTAGAATTCCAAAATATTGGGTTCCACTCCCACCAATAGATGAGAATCTGCATTTTAGATAAGATTCTAGCTTTCCACTATTGCATATTGTAAGTTCTACCATCTTAAAAAAATGACTCTATTTTTCTGAATTTCACTTTCTCCAATAGTGAAATGAGAATGAATTAGTCTATTTTTAACATCTCTTCCAGCTTACTGAAACCCAAGAGTTGGCTAACTAGACCTGTGGGACAAATCTAGATGGCAAGCTAAGAATGGTATTTACATTTTCAGATAATTAAAAAAATTAAAATAATATTTTATAGCATGTAAAATTATAATAAATTCAAATTTCAGCATCCATAAACATTTTTTTTTAGAACCCAGCCACATTCATTTCTTTACAAATTGTCTATGGCTGTTTTCATACTATGATGGCAGAGTTGAATAGATGCAAAAGACTGAATGCCTCTCAAGGCCTAAAATATGTATGAATCAGAAACTATACTAACAATATATATATATACATATGCATACAATTTGGATGTATATTCATACATATTTACATGTAGTTTGTTTAACTATAACTTTACTCCCCTTTTAACCTATTAAATAAATAAAAATTTAAAAAAACACATTTGACTAATCTGTTTTTTAAAATATTTTTTCTTTTTTTAAAAGGCAGACTGGATAAAAGAAGATGATGGAATTTGCCAAGGAACATATAGTTTAGTGCAATGCCCAAGACACAGACAACAGGGTGGGGAAGGAAGGGTGAAGGGGGGCTGGGAAATGGCGAACATCTATAATAATGTTAACAATAAAAATAAAAAGAAAATGCAAGGAAGCTTAAGAGTTTCCATAGGTTAAGAATGATTTTGAGAATCACTGAAATCTTTAATTTCCTTATTTCCTAGTTACTGTTAATAACTAAAAGGTCTACTATTTTATTTTAGTCAATAGTCAGAAACGTATGTGTAATTATATCTGAGTTTTTCCAATTGAAAATATAGACAACTGCTTAGCCAGTAATAAAAACATAATAATCTCAGAAAGTCAACCACATAAATTTGATGTACAAACTGTGATATTAAAATGATATAAATCTTGATATGACACAAAGCTTAGGAGCTTAAGACTTCATATTTCTCTGACTTTCAAGTAAAGGTGCTACTATTATACATTATAGAAACATAAAATACTATCAAGAAACTTCCAAATGAGTAAAATATAAATGATAACTTCCATATTAGTACCACTTAAAGTCCTGTATTTGAATTTTGGAAGTGTAGACAGATGTGATTCTGTGCTATTCAAATTGCTTGAACTAAACACAACCAAGATACTATAGACTTAATGGAAATTTCTGCCCCCTCCCCTTAACTATTTAGAGAAATTCTAATCAGGGTCTTTGCCCATAATAAGAGATTAGAGGTATCCTTTAAAAAAAAACAAAACTATATTCCAATTGCTAAAGAGCTGCTCTTCTCATCTTGTAAACGGCTTTCCTCCCTCCGAAGCCCAGGTGCCTTACCTCATCCTTAGCTTGAATGTCATATATACTGCTTTCCCTTTTGAATCTCTCATGTGTACAAGAAGGTTCGCATGCATATGCATGTATTAAATTTGGTTTGTTCTCTTGTCAATCTGTCTCATGCCCATGTCATTAGCAGATCAGCTGAAAGAACTTTGAGGGTAGAGGAAAGTTTCCTCCTCCCCCACAGAATATAAAAAGCAACCATTTCCAAAATCTATAATTAGCTGAAATATCTAATTTCAAGATAAAGAGAAACAAAAAATAACTTGAACTTTTAGGTTATATTTTTAAAGAGATTCAAATATGCAGTAAAGAATTTTAAAGAAATCAAAACAAAGAAAAAAAATCTGCTTTTGTAAATCCCAACAAAAAAACTATTCATCATGAATTTTAAATTTGTTACTTTTCTTATTATCATAAAGTGGAACAAGTAGTTCTACTTTATTGCCATGAAGTAATAAGTAATATTATTAAAAATAGTAAACTGTATTACCATAAACTAGCACACCAGAAGAAGAAAGTTTTGTTTTATTACCACATATCAGTTTGGGTTTTACTTTAGCATAATAGGATGCATTTTTTTTAAAGGAAAATTGTAGTATATTTACTTTGTTTGCTTTGCAATTGACAATATACCTATGTAAAAATTTAGTTATTCTGATTTCTCTTGAACATTTCTATTTGTTCTCTATTTATGTCTTTTTATAAAAGGTTTTCTAGTTACTATTACCTGGAAAGGAAAAACGAAACATATATTTTACCAAGACACACATTTTACATATATATATAAATGTTCTTCATAGTAATCTGTTTGACATCATTTGTATCCATAATCATAGTATATTTTTCATATCATGTCCACAGTCTATATCCCACAATACAGACCATACTGATTTTATACACAATTTTTAAAAATAATACAAATTATCAAGTTCTTACCAGATCTTGCCCAGCACATCAAACAGAGAAATATGTACACTCTCATTTGGAATCTGATAAAAGAAGCACTTAGATTCACCAAAGAAATTGTGAGAGTCAGTGAGGTTTCTCTTTGGTATGACTGTTACAGTCTAGCAGGTTTAATGTAAAAGATCCCTGACCTTTGCTCCGCCCTGTTTGTTGAAAAGGTGAGGTAGATTGTTTCTGCCCAATTAGCTTGTGGTTGTGAGAAAGACTTTTAAGTCAAAGACTTTGTAATAAGTCACAAACATTCAACTATACAAGTTGGATTTAAGGGGAAGAAAAACCTAATTATATCTTTCTTTATTCCTCTTAACCTCAGGGTTTCAGAAGTGGTTAGGAAAACATATCTATTGAAAACCTAGAGCAAATGTGATGTTAACAAATGCTAGAAATGGAAAGAGTCAGAAAAAGTTGTGGTTTTATGCTAATTTTGATTATAAACTAAGTTGTCTTTATACACCATAAAATCAATAATGAAATTCATATCCATAAAACTGTCAAGTATAAAATATGGCTTTTTCATGCTTGTCATTATGTAACCCAAATTCAGTGGCTATTTTAAAAGTTAAAATGCTAGCCTGTCTCTCTAGATCCATAATTTGAAAATGTAAAATATATGTATATTTTTGTTTTTAGTATAGCAAACATATTTTAAAATTATTATAGGTTTTATTTTCATACATTTACTTAATTTTTCTCTTATTTTCCTTCCAGCAATGGACTTCAGTAAGCAAGTAAAATAAAGAATTGTTCTAAATACATGCATTACAAGTTCAAAATCAAGCTTGTCTTTTTGAAATTTAAGTCTATACATTTCCAAAGATACTTTAAAAAAAGAAGTGTTTAAATTATATCATTGATCAATAGAAACCAGTCTGCAGTCTGGGGATGTGTTTCATTGGATTCACAAACAGAATGGGTTATTCATTTAAAAATCAAGAAAAATATAACTGCTGATGAAGCCTCATCATTATTTTGTGAGACTTCATTTTTAAAAGGGTGTCACCACTAACATTTTTGTATTATTACAGACATTCCCTATCCCTCGACCTCACTTTGTCCCTCTCCAGCCAGGCCTCGCCCACTTCTCCCTCTGGCTCTAACCACTTTGTTGTCTATGTTAACATTTGACTGAAGACCACCAAATAACCCGGTCTTTTCATATTATTGAGCTGTAGCAGTTGCATTTTCCTAATCAAGATATAAATAGACAACATCATTTCAAAATTTGGGAAGATAAAATATATAATTGTCATACATGTTCAAAGAGATTTTTCTTAACCAGAGAATACTCAAATTAAAAGATAAGTCTTTACTATTTAACATAAATTATCCTTTTGCTTTGTGCTTTTGATGTGACAGGGTAATATGAATCTTGCACATTATTTTCCAGATTACAATAAAACCTGAAGATACATCTTCCAGATAAACAGTGCCTGAAAGGAGTTAATAAGGAAATATGTTGGTTTGGATAAAACTTATAATGTAAATGAATTTTTTAAAATCCATAGGTGTGCCGAAACAGGTTTGGCTCACTGGATAGAGCATTGGCCTGCGGACTGAAAGGTCCCAGGTTCAATTCCAGTCAAGGGCATGTACCTTGGTTGTGGGTACATCCCCAGTAGGGGGTGTGCGGGAGGCAGCTGATCGATATTTCTAATTCTCTATCCCTCTCTCTTCCTCTCTATAAAAAAAAAATCAATAATATATATATATATATATATTTTAAATCTATAGTTGTAGTCATAATAAAAACTTGCAAGTATGTATTCATTTGATCAACATATATTTATGATGCACTTACAACATGATAGTTTCCTTCACCCCTTTCTACCTTACTGTAACAATGTTGATGACAGAGGAAAGAAAGAACAGATGCAGACAGGATTTACATTATGATATATCAACTGAAGGTGATTAGTAAAGTTGCTGGCACACTACTTTGTATTTAAGTCAGTGTCTCGCATTATGCGAGTTCAGAAAGGCAGATCTTTATACTTATTTGTATTTCCCAAGGATTAAAGGCAGTGCCTGGCACAAAACAAGCTCTCAGAAAATACCTAATTAATGAATTAATTATATTAGTCATTCAATTTAAGAAATAAAACTTGAATTCCAAAAGGTAAATTTACTTATCTATTATAATATCGTAAAATTAAGTAATGTCAGCGTTCAATTAGAAATCGAGGTTCCAAAAATGTATCCCTTTTCATTTGAAGAGATTATTACTAGTTTTTATTTTTTTGGTCTACCAACCAAGCAAAAGCATGCCTCGTTAAATCAAAGTGAATTCTCTCCATGCCTACCAAAAGGCCAAATGGCATCCTGATTACTTAAATGATACTAACACCATGATTTCAGGTTTCTATGTGCACATACGGTATCTTTAGAAAGAAAGACAAGTTAACAGATAATTGCTTTACCAACGTACTGAGATTCTGTTTTCTTCCCCCTTTCTTTAAATTATCTTTATTATTTTTAAGATTTTTAAAAATCCTCCTCAAGTAGGAGTCAATTCTTTATTTCCCCATTTATATTTATTTCATTCATTAAAAACATACATTCATATCACTTTTAAAACATACATAAGATAGTATATCTTATCAGCTTATAAGATATACATTTGCAAAACCTATATATATAAAAGCGTAAGCAACCATCTGTTTATTTGCATGGTAGTTATAACGCACAATGACGACCAGGGGGTGACACTCCAACCAGTAGAGGAGGGAGCCTGAGTCCTAACAGATTTGGCCATGCGTTAGGTTGCTGCTGGTTCACTGTTGGCCCCAAATCTGCTTCACCCACACCCCAGATCCATAGGGGATGTTGGAGGCCCGGTCTCTCGGCCTGGCCTGCACACTATCACAATCTGGAAACCCTCGGGGGATGTCAGAAAGCCACTTTCCACCGATCCCCACAGGCCAGGCTGAGAGACCCCATCAGTGCACAAATCCATGCACAGGGCCTCTAGTTACCATATAAAACTGTTTGGAGACTACTTCTTTATGCACTACTGATATCAAATAATCCTGGCAAAAGATTTAAGGGAAGCATGCTGAAGATGTGATCTATAGTCCATGTACCATACCTAACTGCTTACATGAAGTAGGTACTTAATAAATAGAATGGAATAATTTTTGAAGGCCTAACTTATTCTTCTTGATTATCTACCTGACAAATGAGTTGAATATTTTTAAATATTCCTATTTGTGTTTTATAGGTATATTTTTTTATTGTTGATAGTATTACAGATGTCTCTCACCCTCCTTTACCCCAGTCCTCCCAGCCCCACCCTCCACACACACACCTATTCTCCTCCACCCTATTGTCAGTGTCCATGGGCTATGCATATAAGTTCTTTGATTTATCTCTTCTCATTTCCCCAACCCCACATCAAGGTATGTCAGTCTGTTTCATACCTTCATGCTTCAGGCCTTATTTTATTGATCAACTATTTTGTTCATTAGATTTCAAAATAAGTGAAATAATATGATAATTCTTTCTCAGATTGACTTATTTCACTTAGCATAATATTTTCCAGGTCCATTCATGCTGTCCCAAAGGAATCAATTCTTCACCCTGGGACACAATATATGAAGTACAGTCCTAATACAAGGTACATATTTTTGTATCCTGTTACAGTGCCCAGCAGCCATCCTCAAGAATTCTGGCTTCAGTCACAAAACTTGCTATATGCACTTTCTAATATTCCTTGGTATAGGCTGTTTTCTCAAGTTCAAATGCCTTCTGGTGTCCACCTAAAACCTCTGCAGCCATTTTCAGACTTTTCCAGTTAATGCTATCTAGGTGAATAAAATTTAGTTTTAGTATTCTATTGTAGCCACATCCATGCATTCATTCATTCTTTCAAAAAAGAATTTTATAAAGAACATAATTTTAAAGTCCTAATGATTCATTTACTCTTTGGAAACTGATTCCCCCCCAACCCCCATTAGCCTGATAGTATAAAGAAATCTCTATAGAAACTTTATATAAAATGCTGGTTGAATAAACCCAGAATCAGTGAATAATGTTGCACGCAGAAATAATACAGGCAACCAGGCAAAGCCACAAGCAACCAGGCAAAGCCCCTTCCACACTAACCTTACTCTCCCCGCCCCCCAAGTCCCAGCCAATCCTGGGCAGGGTTGGCGCGGGGGGCGGCCCCTCAGGGCATAGAGGGCGTGGCTCCGCAGCCTGGCCCCGCCCCCGCGCGGCGCGGCAGTCGTGCCCCCTCCCTCGCCGGGCGGCGCGTGTCATCTCCTCCTTCGTCCTCCGCCGAGACCGGAGGGATGTTCCCTGCTCAGGAGGAGGCGGACAGGACGGTGTTTGTGGGGAATTTGGAGGCCCGAGTGCGGGAAGAAATCCTCTACGAGCTGTTCCTTCAGGTACCGCGGGTGGGGAAGGGGCGGGGGGGCGGGGCCGCGAGGCCGGAAGCGCAGCCGCGGGGGCGGGGCGTGCCTGGCCTCCGTGGGCCTGGGGTTCCGCCCCTCGCGTCCCCCGGGGAGCGGCGGGGTGGTGAGTGACACGGGGCGCCCCGCCCGGGGTGAGGGCTCCGCGGCGGCTGCGGGCCTGCCCTGTGCTCAGAGGAACCGCCTTCAGGTGGGGAAAGGAGCATCCTCAGGCCCTATAGCCCGCGAAGTGAGCTTTGTAAATGCTTCCCCATCCGCTGCTTTATCCGCAGGCCCTTACCGTGCAGGGTGGCTGGTAAAGGAGGTTTGGAGTGATCTGCTCAGCTAAACCATGACTGTGACCAATTAACTCCCTGCTCAGTTCCTTTTCTCTCATTCCAGGAAGACCTGGTGATATATATCCCGGACCGGGGGCCTCCAGGATTGAGCCTTGTCCCCTGTGAACGCCTGTTCCTAGTCTTACACCCAGGTCTCCCTTGCTAAAGAGAGATTCTCACCCAGCCATTCACTTCATTGTTTAATGACCCAGAGTTTCATGGCAAACACTGAGCAAGGTGCTCAGCATTCAACTTAAGAGGTAGACCTTGGCCTTTTAAAAAGGGAAAACAAAGTTAATTGCCATGATTTAGGATAATCTCCAGAAGAGCAGGATTCAGAGTATAGCGACGTTTGTGTTTGTTTGTTTTTAAGTGTGAGTTCTGATATCAGCACTGTGACCTTGGGCAAGTAACTGAGTATCAGTGCCTGGATTTCCTGAAATGTTGCTCTGGCGCAGTAGTATCTCCAATATGATGTGTGAAGATTAAATAACAATCCAGGTAAAATAGAACCGAGCCTGGCACCTGCTGTGTGCTGCTGCCAGGACTGCTAATAGCACTGCTAATACTAACATCAAGAGAAATCGGGAAAGAGTGAGTTCCTCCTATCAGAATAAGGACAAGTTCCTATCGAGACAATAGCAAAACCTAAATTTCCATGAATAAATATGAGTAGCAGCCATGAAAAGGGTTCTTTATTTAGTTTTTGAAAGGCCCTTTGTCTCTGAACTAAAGTTCCCCTCTGTTAGTTATACAATAATAGATACAATTTGATAGAGATAGCCTTCCAGGAATACAGTTTCCTATCCTGGACATAAAACTTTTTAATATTTGAAAAATATTAAGTAGGAGGCTTTTAAGCTTATCCTTCCAATAACTTGCCGTCTTTTAAAACTTGCTTTTTAAGATCTGCTCAATACTTGTCTTTTCCCTTTAGTTATCCCCCACCCCTTCAAATATTAAAACTTGTCACTCCAAAAAACATGAGAGGAAAGGAAGGGAGCGAGAGAGGAGGAGAGGGGAGAGGAAGGGAGACGAAACTTAATCATTCGTTTTCTCCAGAAGGCTTTTTATGTTGAGCCTCCAAAAACAAGGTGAGGGTTGGGGGAATAAAGCATGAAGGTCCCCATATGTTATTTCTACTCAGTAAGGACTGGATCTATAATCTCATTTTTTAATGATGCCTACCTAAACAAAATATTCATATTTTCTTATGATAAGGCAACCAAGTATATGTTTTTATTTTACCTTTGTCCTTTTCTATTCTAGTACAGCAGTTTTCCACCTCTGACACAAGAATTTTAAAACATGCAGTGCCTGACTAGTCAGGAGCATTGACTTCTTTCCCCTTAGACTGCCAAATAAAAAAATGACAACAGTCAACACAACAACAACCATTTGGTGTGAATGAATCAAAATTATAACAATTTTTTTTCAGATTGGTAAAAAAGATAACTTTTTTTTGGTGTGTGCACAATTTTAGTAATTAGTTTATGTGTATCATGAGAAGAAAAAGATTGAAAATCACTGTTCTAGATAAGTTGCTAAAAGTGAGGTATCTTGCCGAAACTGGTTTGGCTCCATGGAAGAGTTTCGGTCTGTGGACTGAGAGGTCCCAGGTTCAATTCCTGTCAAGGTCATGTACATTGGTTGCAGGCACATCCCCAGTGGGGGGTGTGCAGGAGGCAGCTGGTCGATGTTTCTCTCTCATCGATGTTTCTAGCTCTCTGTCCCTCTCCCTTCCTCTCTGTAAAAAAATCAATAAAATATTTTTTTAAAAAAGTGAGGTATCTTTTAGAAAAGCTTCAATCCAGACAACCTAACAAATCTTGACAACTACAATACTATTTATGTATTTTATTTTGATAAAAAGACTAAGCTCATGTGATTGTTGCTACAAGCACATCTCTTGTTGAATTTTATCTTTAAACGTGCTTTGGCTATCTTTGAATTCATAAAATTTAAGATATTCTGTCCCTTTGTGATTTCATACATTTAATACCAGTGGTAGAAAAGTATTGATTAAAAATTGTTTTTATTGCTATGCATTTATCCTTTTACTAGTGTCTTTCAAATTTCTGATGATCCTTTAAAGTTAGAAAGTAAGGTTTAATATCTTTGTACTTTAAACTGGAATGGAATATAGATTTCCAGTTGAAAGATAATGAACTAAGTTTCAAAAATGTTGAGTTGGAAGTACAATCACAAGGAAGTCCCCAGGAGACTGTCTCTTAGAAAGAGGCACAAAAGAAGAAAATATGAGTAGGAAAAAATAGATTTGTTGATGAAGTGATCCCTGAAGCCAGAAGGAAGGATGAGCTAGTTCATGAGAAAGCAGAGAATGAAAAGACTGAATCCTAAAATACAGCAGCATTTGAAAGATGATAATTAACATTCTTCTTCAGATTAAAAGCAGTTTCTTAATATAGTTATTCATCTCTACAGAGAAAAGCAATCAGTTTTAATTTATGGTACAATTTAAAATTTTGATCCCTTCACTATCAAATCTTAGTTGTTTGTGTCTTTGCTTCCTCTGATCATTACTGTGGTGATGCAAACTTTTTCTTAATTACTAATATAATTAACAAAATTATTTGTTTTATAATATTTGACTCCACTTTTTTACTCCATATTTCTAATTACAAGTTCAATATTACATATTGAATATGTTCATATATGATATTTTATTTTAAATTATACATCATGGAATAATATTCTCCAGTTGTATTTAGAGCCTTTCTGATTTTTCACTAATTATAAATAATGGACCTATATATTAAAACATTTCTTTTTAAAAAATATATATTTTATTGATATTTTACAGAGAGGAAGGGAGAGAGATAGAGAGATAGAAACGTCGATGAGAGAGAAACATCAACCAGCTGCCTCTTGCACACCCACTACCGGGGATGTGCCCGCAACCTATGTACATGCCCTTGATCGGAATTGAACCTGGGACCTTTCAATCCGCAGACCGACGCTCTACCACTGAGCCAAACCAGTTTCAGCTTAAAACATTTCTTGATGAAAACACTCTTTACAGAAAAAAAAAAAAAATTAGGCTGTGATAAATTTTTTCCGGTTTTATTTTTTGTCATAACTCAACCAACATTGGTTTGTCATTTCATTTTTGAGTTATACACTGTTACTATGTATAAAGATACATAGTAAATGCTCTCTAAATTGTTTTTGTTAAACCTAACTGAAGGGTAATAAAGTATTCTTTTCAAAATTTGGACCTATTACCTAGAATTTCCCATTACCCAGAATTTTCTATTCTTATTACTGTGAATGTTTCTTGATGAGCCAGAAAGTACCAAGAAAGTATGATGAAGTATAATATTAATTGTTAGGAAAATCTATTATTAGCAGAACTACATAAAGCTGTTCCTGCTAACATATTTTTAAAATCTAAAGTTAAATGTACTTGAGTTATTTGTAAAAACAAAAAAACACTTTAGATTTATGAGAAAATAATTTTTAAGTTTTTTATAGGCTGGGCCATTAACCAAAGTGACTATATGCAAAGACAGAGAAGGAAAGCCGAAGTCCTTTGGATTTGTCTGCTTTAAACACCCAGAATCAGTGTCATATGCCATAGCTTTGCTGAATGGAATTCGTTTATATGGAAGACCAATTAATGTGCAGTATCGATTTGGTAAGTCAATCTGAATTTTATTATTGTTGGTGATTTCAGAGGTGTAAGCATTTTGTTTTCTATAAAGCAAAGACCAAAAAAGTTTTCCCATAGTCTAAATTAAATTTCCTCAGAACACATGTCTAATTCATAACAATTTATAATTACTACTAATTATTATTGCCAACCCTATTGTATCTCTTCTGTATTAAAAATTTCAATGTTCTATTTTAGTATCAGCCAGCAAATATCTATGATAATTGCTATTGGCTATTATAAATTAAGCAAATTTAAATGACATGGAGACACACAATTCTACCTTTTATTTAGCAAAAATATTTGCTCATCCTTTTGACATAAAAACCCTGGATCCATCACATTTGCCACAACTGGGAGGCTTGGCCATCCAGAAGTCAGTCCTGCAGTCAGCACTGGATTGCCAAGGTGACCCAGCACTGACTGCTGAGGGGGCTGTGAATCAGGCCTGAATAGAGGCCTGACGAGAGAAGCAGTCTGATCTGTAGCTTATGTCACAGCTGTTGATTAGCACTTGCCTCTCTCTTTCTTTCCGGGCCTGGTCAGCAGCTGCACCTCCATTTCTCTCCAGGCCTCCCCCAGGGTTGCTGATCAGCCCTACCTTTCTGATCAGGCCCCATTAATAGGCCCAGAGACACTGACTGGCATAGAAACTGATCAATCAGAACCAAATCTGAGTCAACTGTGAGGAACCAATGGCTGTCTAGGAGGCAGAGCTTTTGACACTGACTGGCATAGAAACCAAACAATCAGAACCAAATTGGCTGCAGAGGAAGACAGTTGGGGGCAATATCAGGCCTGCAGGGGGGAGCAGTTAGTGGTGATAAGGCCGGCAGGGGAGGGCAATTGAGGGTGACCAGGCAGGCAAGGGAGAGAAGTTGGGGGGCTTCAGGCCAGCTAGGAAAGGCACTTGGGGGTGAGATCAGGCTGACAGGGGAGGGCGATTAGGGGGGAGATCAGGCCGGCAGGGGAAGGCAATTTGGGGCAATCAGGCCAGCTGGGGAGGGCAGCTGGGGTCAATCGGGCCGGCAGGGGAGCAGTTAGGAGTTAATCAGGCCAGCAGGGGGAGCAGTTAGGGGGTGATCAGGCTGGCAGGCAGAAGTGGTTAGGAGCACTCAGGCAGGCAAGCGAGTGGTTAGGAGCCAGCAGTCCTGAGTTGTGAGTGGGATGTCCCAGAGGGGTCCCAGATTGGAGAGGGTGCAGGCTGGGCTGAGGGACACCCACTCCCTCCTCCCACCCTCCAGGCCAGTGCACGAATTTCATGCACCTGTCCTCTAATATGTGATACAAAATACTTACTATTTGGAAGATATGGTAGGCAACAGTCCTTCTTCTTCTTGGACTTAGGGAAAGAATCATACTATGTATATTGCCCTGGATCTAAGCCCCTTTAAGAGCAACTGACCAAAACCAGCTTCAGAGTGACCCTTCATAGTGGTGGAAGGAAGCTTCCTGACATGAATGGCCTCAAGTGCCTTCTCCTATACACATGCCAAGAACTGATCTTTTATTAGATATCCTGAGGACACTACTAATACTCTAGGCCTTCTATGTTTGAACAGACTGATTGAGGTAATGCTTAACGTTGGTTCTCTCCCCTAAATGTTTCAGCCTTAATAATATACTAGAGGCCCGGTGCATGAAATTTGTTTACGGTGGGGAGAAGCATGTCCCTCAACCCAGCCTGCACCCCCTCCAATCTTACAATCCAGGGCTGCTGGGTCCCAACCACTCGCCTTCCTGCCTGCTTGATTATCTCTAACTGTTTCTGCCTGCCAGCCTGAGCACCCCCTAACCACTCCCCTGCCAGCCTGATTGCCCCTAACTGCCTTCCCCTGCGAGCCTGGCCACCCCTTACTGCCCTCCCTTGCTAGCCTGGTCACTCCCAACTGCCCTCCCTTGCCATCCTGGTCACTCCACACAGCCTGCTGTTCAGTCGTTTGGTCATCCCTCATTAGCCCCCCTGCCAGCTTATTGTAGGCAGCCATCTTGTGAGGGTGTGAGGGTCAATTTGCATATTACCTCTTTATTATATAGGATCCCTTGTCTGTTTTTATTTCTTTTTCTATACAAAATCAAATAAGAACTAAAAAAAAAAACAAAAAACAATGCCTTGTTGCAAAGGAAAAGTGCTTCTCTTTGCATTTCATTTTGTTAATTTCTTTGCAAAGAAAATTGGCTGCATCATGCTCTCAATACTGTCCTATTCTACCAGCTTTTAGTTAATAAAAGCTGGTGGAATTGTCCAGGACATTATGTCCTGATAAATCCCTACACAGCTGCTTAGCATCCTATGTAAGGTTGCATTGGCTTTGTCAGTGAAGTTTAAAGAACTCATACCATAACACTGATGAGTTGCTATTTTTAGTTTACAAGAATATAGTACAAAACATCATGTATCTTATATGGTCCCATGTCAATATAATTTTATTATAGAGCCATTGCGTTGGACAAAGCTTGATTATAATTTAGTCATTTATAATAATATAAATTATCTATAAATATTACTTGAGAGACCAATAACATATTCATGTATCTTATATGAATATAGAATTTTACTTAATACTATGACCTTTTTGGTTTGGAAAGTTTTTATGGTTTTATGTTAGAACTCAAAAAATATATATATATACAATGAAGTAATCACCATGTTATTCTATTTCTTTTAAAGGGAGTTCTCGTTCTTCTGAACCAGCTATTCAAAGTTTTGAGAGCTGTGTTAAGATCAATTCACACAGCTACAGGTAATTAAAATATTTTTTCATAAAGGTAAAGAAAATATGTTCTATGACAGGAAAAGTTTTGGATTATTGTAAACCTTACCATTTAGGTATACAATAAAATTAAGAATTCATTTTTTCTGAAACCATGAAAAGTGACAAAATATTTTCATTTAACCTCAGTCATATTGTTTTTAACAGTATGTGGTAGAGAGTTATATCTGTAGATTCGTTACAGTTTATTATGTTCTTTTCATAGCTGTAAAATCATCTAAGCATCCAAGGCCTCATTGTGATAGATCAGTTAGCCTTCGGTGGCAATTTACAATTGGGATATACACCTATGCATCTGACTGCCTCTACTTGCCTGTGTTAATTGCACTCTTCCCCAAAATATATTCTCCATCCCAAAGATTAGTAGTATTTACATTAAAAATGTACAATACGCTAGAGCAAGTAGACTAATGAAGACTAGCTACAGATCTAGCCAGTTTTGAAAACATTATAATTTTTTTAACATGTCTGTAGAAGAAAATAGTACACTTTTAAATGAAGCTTTACACACCACATTTTTAAATTAGCAATTTTTATTACTATATGAATATGTAGAAGAAATCAGCAATTATGTGTTTATGTTAATAATAGTACGTACATTTAGGAAAGAGCATATTTATATAAACAGTGAATATACATTCAAAAGTAAATTGAGAAAAATGTCTACCTTTTTTCGACTTCAATATCTATAAAATATTGAATTTAACCTTGGTAATTATTAATGACTTGCTCTGCTGTCTTCATATCTAAATGTTCTTTTTCTTTATAAAATGAATTGCTTACTATTTTCCTATCAAAAAGCCAAATGAGACTCTAAATATTGAGATTTCAATATGTAGATATTAATATGACTTAAGGTACTGCTGTATCTAATTGATAATTTGTGTATGTATGTTTACAGTTAATTACTCTTAACCACATTCTCTTAAAGGAACTCTCTTCTTTTTCTTCTTCTTCTTCTCCTTCTCCTTCTTCTTCTCCTTCTTCTTCTCCTTCTCCTTCTCCTTCTCCTTCTCCTTCTCCTTCTCCTTCTCCTTCTCCTTCTCCTTCTCCTTCTCCTTCTCCTTCTCCTTCTCCTTCTCCTTCTCCTTCTCCTTCTCCTTCTCCTTCTCCTTCTCCTTCTCCTTCTCCTTCTCCTTCTCCTTCTCCTTCTCCTTCTCCTTCTCCTTCTCCTTCTCCTTCTCCTTCTCCTTCTCCTTCTCCTTCTCCTTCTCCTTCTCCTTCTCCTTCTCCTTCTCCTTCTCCTTCTCCTTCTCCTTCTCCTTCTCCTTCTCCTTCTCCTTCTCCTTCTCCTTCTCCTTCTCCTTCTCCTTCTCCTTCTCCTTCTCCTTCTCCTTCTCCTTCTCCTTCTCCTTCTCCTTCTCCTTCTCCTTCTCCTTCTCCTTCTCCTTCTCCTTCTCCTTCTCCTTCTCCTTCTCCTTCTCCTTCTCCTTCTCCTTCTCCTTCTCCTTCTCCTTCTCCTTCTCCTTCTCCTTCTCCTTCTCCTTCTCCTTCTCCTTCTCCTTCTCCTTCTCCTTCTCCTTCTCCTTCTCCTTCTCCTTCTCCTTCTCCTTCTCCTTCTCCTTCTCCTTCTCCTTCTCCTTCTCCTTCTCCTTCTCCTTCTCCTTCTCCTTCTCCTTCTCCTTCTCCTTCTCCTTCTCCTTCTCCTTCTCCTTCTCCTTCTCCTTCTCCTTCTCCTTCTCCTTCTCCTTCTCCTTCTCCTTCTCCTTCTCCTTCTCCTTCTCCTTCTCCTTCTCCTTCTCCTTCTCCTTCTCCTTCTCCTTCTCCTTCTCCTTCTCCTTCTCCTTCTCCTTCTCCTTCTCCTTCTCCTTCTCCTTCTCCTTCTCCTTCTCCTTCTCCTTCTCCTTCTCCTTCTCCTTCTCCTTCTCCTTCTCCTTCTCCTTCTCCTTCTCCTTCTCCTTCTCCTTCTCCTTCTCCTTCTCCTTCTCCTTCTCCTTCTCCTTCTCCTTCTCCTTCTCCTTCTCCTTCTCCTTCTCCTTCTCCTTCTCCTTCTCCTTCTCCTTCTCCTTCTCCTTCTCCTTCTCCTTCTCCTTCTCCTTCTCCTTCTCCTTCTCCTTCTCCTTCTCCTTCTCCTTCTCCTTCTCCTTCTCCTTCTCCTTCTCCTTCTCCTTCTCCTTCTCCTTCTCCTTCTCCTTCTCCTTCTCCTTCTCCTTCTCCTTCTCCTTCTCCTTCTCCTTCTCCTTCTCCTTCTCCTTCTCCTTCTCCTTCTCCTTCTCCTTCTCCTTCTCCTTCTCCTTCTCCTTCTCCTTCTCCTTCTCCTCCTCCTCCTCCTCCTCCTCCTCCTCCTCCTCCTCCTCCTCCTCCTCCTCCTCCTCCTCCTCCTCCTCCTCCTCCCTCCTCCTCCTCCCTCCTCCTCCTCCTCCCTCCTCCTCCTCCCTCCTCCTCCTCCCTCCTCCTCCTTCCTCCTCCTCCTCCTCCTCCTCCTCCTTCTCTCTCTCTCTCTCTCAATTATTAAGACCTGTGGTTTTTATTTTTAAGAAAAAAGGACATTTGAGGGTAGGAATTTTAACTTTTTTTTGTTTTTTTTTTTTGCCTTCCCAAAGAAATGAAGAAGCCATGGGCAGTTCTTTCTTTCCCATGCAGTTCTTTCCAACTAATAAAGCAGCTTTACCTCAAGAATATTTTTTCTTTCAGAAGATGGTAAGTTTGACATGCCTTTGGTTCAATAAATAATGTGATGCAAACTGTGAAGAATATGAAAACTATTTGGAGCTTACAGTGCTCAAATCTAACCATGGGACAAAGTCAGCAGCTTCCTAGAACACTTTCCCCCAATGGCAGAGGGCTCTAGTACAGTCATCTTAAGTCCAGAACAGTACCTACATCAGCAGACAGCCAGCATGTCTGTCAAAGAGTGGATGGGAGTGATGATGCACTCTGGTCCAAGTAAAATTTGTGTAGAGTTGTCATTTAAATGACATTTTTGTTTTGTTTGTTAATCCTCACCTGAGGATATTTTTACATTGATTTTCAGGGAAGGTAGAAGAGAGAGGGAAAGACAGAGAGAAACATCCATGGTAGAGAAACACAGAGATTGGTTGCCTCCCACATGAGCCCAACCAGGCTGGGGAGGACCCTGCAATCAAGGTACCCTTGATCAAAATCAAACTCAGGATTCTTTGGTCTGTATACCGAAGCTCTGTCCACTGAGCCAAACCAGCTAGGGCTTAAATGGCTCTTTTGAAATATATTTTTTAGAATTGAATTATTTTATTTAGTGAATTGTTTTTACATAATGTAAACATTAATCACAACATGTTGCTTTGGGACTTGGAGTAATTTAAAAATAATTTGTTTTAACTTGAGACAAGATCCTCAATGTAATAAATACATTATTTCCAAAGACTCTCAAAATATGGTTTTGGCTTAGAAATATTAAGTAAGATCTTTATTATTAAAGGGGAACTTAGGAGGAAATTGTTTGTTTTTCCAGCTCATCATTGTATACATAATAAAATTGAGGTCAAAGAATATTGATCAACAAACCCAAGATTGTACTTGTAAGTGACAGAATAACACAGTTATTCTGATTGACAGGGTAGGGTTTTTGCAAATATCCAGCATACATGTGAGCTTCAGATTTTAAAACAGCTGTTTTCATTTTTGTAAAAAAGAAAAATTGATAATTTAATATTTGGGAAAAAAACTTTTCTTAGCTATAGTGAGATACTAGTGAACACCAGTTCTCATCTGAAACTGTCAATATTTTTTCCCCAGCATTTTTAATCTTTGATAGATCTGATAAAAACATACATATATACTTACTCTCATGTTATCTCTATTCTTTAATGTACTTTGAATAGTTAGAAATTTGAGTTAAAAGTTACTTCAAAAAAAAGAAAGAAGTGTATATCATAACTATTGACAACTGTGCTATACAATATGGTGGATATTAGCCACATGTGAGACCAAAAAACTGTATCACATGTTATTTATGCTGTAACCAGTATAAAATTTAAAATATTATTAATTCAGTTACTGAATAACTTTTAGTTGAAAGAACTTTGATATGGGTATCTACTTTCTCAAATGTACATTTAATGTAGCCTAAATTTAGATAAAATATTTTCTATGAAAATTTATCATCAGAATTGAGATATACTGTAAGTATAAAATATATACCCGATTTTAAAGACTTAGTATGAAAAAAGAAAGTAGAATATCTCATAATTTTCTATTGATTACATGTTGAAATTACGATATTTTGAGATAAATAAAATGCATTATATATTGCACTATTTTTTTATATATATATTTTATTGTGCCTCCTTGAAGATTTAAAACTACATATGTAGCTTGCATTTTATTTCTATAGGTCAGCACTAGGCTATATAGTAGTAAGCTGTATATTACTTAAATCTTAGTTAACTATTTAAGGAAACTACCACATCTCTACGTTACAAAATCATGGCCTTTCTGATACTAATACACAGCTTGATTTTTCTGGTAGTTATTTGTATAATGCATGTAAACTGTAATCTTTTTTAACATTTTGGTCATTATTGATAAATGAATGTTTGTTTTTATCCACAGCAGTGGCCTGCATGTAATCCAATGCTGCAGCTTCCTTACTGTGAGATGACAGCACCCCTTCCAAAGAACACTGCTGTGCCTCCTTCACTAAACCATGTTCCAAATCTAGAGGCTGGACCCAGCTCTTATGAATGGACTCACCAACAACCACATGACCTTGACTTTTACAAAATTAATAAACGAAAGAGGCAAAAACAAACTAGCGATAGTGATAGTAGCACAGAAAACATTAAAGAAAGTGAATATAGCAAAAAGTTCCAAAAGTGTAAGAAGAAAAGATATTAATATCACCTTCAAATGAATTTATCTATACTGGTTTTGCTTTTTTTTTTTTTTTTTTTTTTTTAATATATTTTAATGATTTTTCACAGAGAGGAAGAAAGAGGGATAGAGAGTTAGAAACATCGATGAGAGAGAATCATCAATCAGCTGCCTCTTGCACACCCCCCACTGGGGATGTGCGGGCAACCAAGGTACATGTCCTTGCTCGGAATCGAACCTGGGACCTTTCAGTCCGCAGGCCGACGCTCTATCCACCGAGCCAAACCGGTCCCGGCGGTCTTGATGCTTTTAAAAGGAAAAAAAATGAAGCCTGTATTCTACCAAGTAACAAATGTTATGGCTTTCTTATGTTCTTGGAAATATATAATAATATGGCATCTGATTTGCTATTAAAATTTTGTTTTTAATTATAAAGACTTTAAAATAATATACAACTTCTTGCTTTGGTAATGGTCTTGTTGACACATTGTCAACAAGAAATATACTTTTGAGTGATATATTTTAATAGTGATACTGATATTTCATAAACTGTCAATCAAAATCCACTTATGGGTAAGGCACCATGCTTTCCTAGAGTGTTGCTTATATGAAATGGTAGATTTTCTGAGTGAAACTAGTACAAATATTTAAGAGTTACATGTTGTTCCTAACAAAAATGGAATAAGCAAGCTTTAGTTTCCTTTGCTAATCTCATTTTTTTATTTGTCAATATGATATTTCTCAGTCTTATGGTTTACTGTATTTCATAAAATGAGGATATATGGTAGTGATACCTAAGGAAAAATTATGGAGCTATTTTTAGCATCATTTCCTTTTTATACAGCTGTATAGAAATGTGAACATCTGCCTCATCTCACTATATTTCATGAAAATTAGTTGGCTATGTATGAATTTATCATAAACTATTTTACCAACTGGATTTGAGAGGGTATATTTAACAAGCAAATCTTGATAACAATAAATAGACTATCACATTAATGTATGTTGTTTAATATTTATTTTCCAATCAAGTTTCCTATTTCTGGCTTATTTATTTAATATGTAAAATCAGTGGTTTATGTGGACATTTTTGTTCACTTTTTTTTGCTCACCATAAACTTCAACAATGAAAATACTTATTTATTAAAGCTACTAAATCATTGGGAGGTCCCCACCCAATTCAGTAGGAAAAGCCATGCTTGGATAGTTCTTTTTCATGTTGAATAGCTTCATCTGGGCACTTCCAAAACCCAAACAAAGAAGAGGAATTTGCAGATCTCTCTGTAGCTCCTGCTGGGTGGCCTCTATCCTTGGATAACCAAGAGCCAGTTTACCAAGTGGTCAGAGAGAGTCCATCCAGACTAAAACTTCAGATCCATGAGACACACTTAGGGGGAAAACTTAGTGAGCACCAAAGCCCCACTGAAGCAAGTCTTGCCTCAAAAGAGTATCTCCAGCACAGAAGTTCTCCCATCATAGACACAACTGATCGTCACAGCCAATTGGCCTAGAGGTCAATTCCTCCCAGTGATACCAACAACAATCAAGGCTTAACTACAACAAAACTGTGCACACAGCCCACAGAGGGGTGCACCAAGAGTGTCCACCTCAGGAAATTAGGGAGGCTGAGCCACTGAGCTGTATAGGACACCTAGCACATAAAACCATGCTATCAATACAGGGGAGCAGCCAAAATATGGAAACAAAGAAACAGGTCACAAATGAAAGAAATGGAGGAAAGAAAACTACAGGATATAGAGTTCAAAAACAAAGTTATAAGGTTACTCAAGAATCTTCTAGAAACTGCTGATAAATTTAGTGATACCTTCAAGGATATGAAAGAGGACCAACTAGAAATTAAGCATACACTGACTGAAATAATAATATACAGAGATCCAATAGCAGACCAGAGGATCCCAAGAATCAAGTCAAAGATTTTAAATATGAAGAAGCAAAAAACACCCACCTGAAAAAGCAAAGAGGAAAAATAATCCAAAAATATAAAGATAGCCGAAACTGGTTTGGCTCAGTGGATAGAGCGTCGGCTTGGGGACTGAAAGGTCCTGGGTTCAATTACGGTCAAGGGCATGTACCAGTAGGGGGTGTGCAAGAGGCAGCTGATCAATGACTCTCATTGATGTTTCTAACTATCTCTCTCCTCTGTACAAAATCAATAAAATATATTTTAAAAAATATATATAAAGATAGTGTAAGAAGCCTCTGGGACAACTTCAAGTGTGCCATCAGAATTATGGGGGTGCCAGAAGAAGAGAGAGAGCAAGATATTGAAAACCTATTTGAAGAAATAATGACAGAAAACTTAACCTACCGGTGAAAGAAGTAGACTTACAAATCCAGGAAGCACAGAGAACCCCAAACAAAAGGAATTCAAAGAGGCCCCACCAAGACACATCATAATTAAAATGCCAAGAGCAAAAGACAAAGAGAAAATATTAAAAGCAACAAGATAAAAACAGTTACCTACAGGGAAATGGGAAATACCCATATAACAGTCAGCTGATTTCTCAACAGAAACTATGCAGGCCAGAAGAGAGTGGCAAGAAATATTCAAAGTGATGAACACAAGAATCTACAATCAAGATTACCAGCAAAGCTATCATTTAGAATTGAAGATGAGATAAAGAGCTTCACAGATAAGAAAAAGCTAAAGGAGTTCATTACTGCCAAACCAGTATTGTATGAAATGCTGAAAGATATTCTTTAAGAAGAAGGAAAAGAAGAAAAAGGTAAAGATAAAAATTACATAGTACATAGGACTAAGGCCTACCTCAAGAAACAAGAAAAGTTATTAATAAACTATTTAACCCTGACACTAAATGAGTTTGAGAGCTAACAACAAAGAAAAAGCCCAGAGGAAATAAAAGAAAGGAAATAATAAAGGTCAGAGCAGAAATAAATGACACAGTTACAAAAACAATTTTTTAAAAAAAAATTAAACAAAACAGTACAAAGAATAAATTCAAGAGCTGGCTCTTTGAAAATATAAGCAACATTGATGGTCCCTTAGCCAGACTCATCAAGAAACAAAGAGAGAGGACCCAAATAAAAAAATCATAAATGAAAAAGGTCACATAGCAATGGATACCTCAGAAATACAGAGGCTTGTAGGCAAATCCTATGAACAACTATAGGCCAACAAACTGGACAACCTGGGCAAAATGAACAAATTCCTAGGAGAAATACAATCTTTCTAAATCAATCAGGAAGAATCAGAAAACCTGAATAGGCCTTATAAGGGTGTCTACAGCACAGAAGTTCTCCATCATAAGTGGCCAGGCCCAGAGCAGCCGGGTCGGGTGTGGCCAGGCCTGGAGCAGCGGCTGCCAGGCTGGGAGCGGCCAGGCCCGGAGCAGCCGGGTCAGGTGCGGCCAGGCCCGGATCAGCCGGGTCGGGTGCGGCCAGGCCCGGAGCAGCAGCAGCCAAGTCCAGAGCAACTAGGTCGGGAGCGGCAGTGACCAGACCTGGAGCAGCTGGTTGTGGAACGAACCAGAGCAACAGAGGCCAGGCCCTGAGCAGCCAGGCCCGGAACAGCTCGCTCCTCGCCTGCCCCTGCCCCACGGCTGCCTCTCAGACATGGCTGGAAACTTTCGCGGGAACTTGAGGGTCTGCTGAATCAAGTGGTGAAGGCTTAGATCTGGATGTGTTGAGTTAGTATAGGGCTGGGGTGTTGATCTGTGAGTGTCTCGGGTGGGGCCTGGATGAGGCTAGTTGACCTATTGGGAAATGTCTTTTGTGTGAAGTGTATCATTGGGCATGTGGACGTATTATTGATATGAGAAAATGCTAAGTAACTGATTTACTATCTGAAAAGGGATTTACTATCGGGGAAAGGGAGGGAGGAAGAGACTAAACATGGACTGTGCACCTATGGATGAGGACAATGGGGGATGGGGAGGGGGCAGAGGGTGGGGTGGGAACCTGGTGGAGGGGGGAAGAAATGAGGAACCTTTTTGATAATATGAACAATAAAGATTGATTTAAAAAAAATCAAAAAAAATCTATAATAAAAAAATAAAAAAAAAGTTCTCTCATCATAGACACAACTGATCCTCACAGACAATTGGCCTGGAGGTCAATTCCTCCCAGAATGTCTAAAGTTTATTGTTATCTCTTTTCACATTTTCTGTGGCTTAATACTTACTATTTTTAAAAAATTCTTACTCTTTTTTAATTATATTTTTGAAGGAAGAGAAGATAAAATTGGTCTCAATAAGTCATGATTAAAAGGAAGTTGTTTACTAATTAAAATCATTTGTATCTTAAGAAAATTAACTCTTTTACATATGTTTTAGCCCAGCTGGCATAGCTTAGTGGTTGAGCATCAATCTATGAACCAAGAGGTCACAGTTCAATTCCCAGTCAGAACACATGCCTGGGTTGCAGGCATGATCCTGATCATGCAGGAGGCAGATGATCAATGATTCCCATCATTGATGCTTCTATCTCTCCTTGCCCTTCCTCTCTGAAATCAATAAAAAGGAAATATACATGTTTTATATTTCAATTTTATTTTTTCATTTTTTTCCAGAAGATTTAATTTGCAGACAGTTAATATGTTTTCAAATCTATCAGTCCTTTTTATGGTTTCTGGAAATTTTATTATGAGTATAAAAGCATTTCACAATGCAATATTAAGAAAAACATCTTTTCTTTTAGAATTGTGTCAGATTCAATTTTACATATTGAATGGGTCATGAAGTACTTTCCTAAGATATGAGAACATAAAATCTAGATTTTCATACAACATTAGCAATTTTGAGTTTCTTTCATGGGCATGGAGTACTTTCTTAGCATATGAGGAGGTAAAATCTTTAGATTTTCATACAACATAAGCACTTTTAAGTTTCTAAATGCTTATATTAAGATTTTTTTATACCAAAACAACAATTATGTTTCCTCTATTATGCAGCTCTGAAGAGGATACAGTCATAATGAAGGGAGTGACACTCCCACTGACAGGTATTATTTCCCCAAACCATTGGAAGAGGAGTTTGAAAAAGAAA